ACCTCAGTGTCCGGGCTGAACGATGGGGGTGGAGGCGCTCCTTCAGGTATACTGGACCAAGGCCGTTTAGGGCTTTCAAGGTCAGCACCAACAAGCATCAGCCAGGCTTTCCAAAGATGGATGTTTGTTCTGTTTCAGCGGTAAACAGCGGGTTTTCCAAGAGAAAGTGGAAACATACACAAACACTGTTTGAATGGCAATGCTTATCAACTTGGGGGGGCGGCCCCCTAAAATATTTGATTTTGGGGGCCAAAGCATAGTTGGCTCCTATGTTGAGGGTCAGCTAGTCTAAGCCCCTGCTATGCAGGAAGAGGCAGCTGCCCAATATGGGGATCCAGGGGCGCCGACTTATAAAAAATAAGTCCTGGCGGCAGGATGGCAGTGGTGCTTTTGCATGCAAGAACCGGCCTGCCCTCCCCAGGCTTCGCGCCGGGAGGCGGCCACCCCCTCCTACCAACGTCACCTTAGCCGAACCCAGAAAAAAAGCCCCACTCCGGCGGCGGGAACTCCCGTCCCCTCCATTCTCCCCTCACCCCGGTCCCTCGCCGGCGACAAATATGCCGTTCCTCGGCCCCGCGGCTCCATTCCTTTCTAAAGTCCCGCCGCTGGGGGTCTTCCTCTGACTGACCGACCTGCCCGCCCCTTCTCAGGAGCTCCCAGTCACTTTGGGAGGCGCGCACCGGAGTCCCCTGCGCGTTTTTTGGCAAGGTGCCTAATAATTTTCTTAAATTATTGGGGGGGCAGAGCCCCCCAAACGAATTTTGAGGGGGCTCGGGCCCCCTCAGGCCCCATGGAGTCGGCGCCTATGTGGGGATCAATCCTGCAACCTTGGTGTTGTCAGCAATCACACTCTAACCAACCGAGCTCTCCAGCATTGTAGAAGCCCAGGGGGTCGTCTAGTCCCGAACCTGCAATGCACAACAGATGGCGCTCTGGGGAAGTTTTACTAATTTTACAAATAAATTTACAATATCAGATTATTATTATTATTATTTAAAGCTGAATTCTGCAGCTCGTATCCAAAGTCATTTCTGCGCTCTGGAGAAGCTATGCATCTCTGCACGACTGTGGGTTCCCAGAGGCATCGGGCGGCTACTCTTGCTGTTTTTGAGCTGTTTGATTGGATTTTTATGCCGTATGAAGCATAGCAGTAGCAGACCGTTAGAATTGTGGAGTTAGAAGGGACCTAAGGGATCTGCAGGGACGCAGGTGGGACGTGGGTTAAACCACAGAGCCTTGGGCTTGCCAATCAGAAGGTTGGTGGTTTGAATCCCTGCGACGGGGTGAGCTCCCATTGCTCAGTCCCTTCTCCTGCCAACCTAGCAGTTCAAAAGCACGTCAAAGTGCAAGGAGATAAATAAGTACAGCTCCGGCAGGAAGGTAAAAGGCATTTCCATGCGCTGCTCTGGTTTGTCAGAAGCGGCTTAGTCCTGCTGGCCACATGACCCCGAAGCTGTATGCCAGCTCCCTCGGCCAGTAAAGTGAGATGAACGCCGCAACCCCAGAGTCGTCCGCGACTGGACATAACGGTCAGGGGTACCTTTACCCTTTACCTTTAAGGGTCATCTAGCCCACGGGTGGTGCTGTGGGTTAAACCACAGAGCCTAGGATTTGCCGATCAGAAGATAAATAGGTACCGCTCTGGCGGGAAGGTAAACAGTGTTTCTGTGCGCTGCTCTGGTTCGCCAGAACCATGCTGGCCACATGACCCGGAAGCTGTACGCTCCCTCGGCCAATAAAGCGAGATGAGTGCCGCAACCCCAGAGTTGGTCACGACTGGACCTAGTGGTCAGGGGTCCCTTTACACTTTACCTTTAAGGGTCATCTAGCCCACCCACGCAGTGCAGGAATCTTTTGCCCAACATGGGCCTTGAATTCACAACCCTGAGATTAAGAGCCTTATGCTCAGCTGGTGAGAGTGTGGTGCTGATAACGCCAAGGTTGCAGGTTTGATTCCCGTATGGGACAGCTGCATATTCCCACACTGCAGGGTTGGGGTCCCTTCCAACCATTCCATGAGTCTATATCTAGCCATGGAGCATAGCAGACTTTGCTTTTCATTCCCTGCCTCTCCTCTGTGTGGACAGGATGGGCTCCGTTTGGCCTCACCCGGACTCCTCTTCTGAGCTGGATAAAACTTGCAGACGTCGGTTCGAGTCCTACCCTCCAGAGCAGGAGAAAACAAGCTGCCTTTTGCTCTAGGGAATATTCTCCAAGCGTGAAGCTGCCTCTTATCATACGCCGGGTGTCACACAAGCAAAGTGGACGCGAGATTTTTCCACGCCTCGTTTTTGCAACAGCCTCTCTTTTGTTTAAATTGGGCATTTGCCCAAATTACGGCTTTAGGCTGAAATCCTGTTTTCTTCATTCCGGGACTCTTCTCCTTAAGTCACCCCTTTCAAACAGCTTTCCTTTCCCACCATAGAATCACAGAGCTGGAAGGGACCTCAAGGGTCATCTAGTCCAACCCCCTGCAGTTCAGGAAACTCAATTAAGCATCCATGACAGCTGGCCATCCGACCTCTGCTTAGAAACCTCCAAGGAAGTGGCAGATGAAGGTGATGGACTATATGGAATTGGCAGAAATGACTGGCAGAATTTGTGACCAGGGAGAAGAGTCGGTGGAAGAAGATTGGAAGAAATTTAAAGACTACTTGCAGAAATACTGTAAAATTAAGGAATGTTAAAATGATGTTGGATGGAAAATAAGTGGTATTGGTAAAAAGTTTTTTAAGAGCATGCAAGTATGGATTGTTAACACTTAAAAATATATATTTACAATAGGTGATGACACAGAGTTATGAAAATGACAGAGGGTAAGGATTTGCTGAAAGGACTTTTTAAATGGGAATACAAAAGAGGAGGTGTGAAGAGGTCAAAGAATCAATGAGATAAAGGATGATTGAAGGATGGAGTTAATTTTAAACTTTCTATGTTTTTCTTTTTTATATATCTAACTATTGTTATTTCCTCTTGTTTATATAATTTTTTTTCTATGTGTGTTCTTTCTCTTTCATTCTCTTTTTTTATCCTTTTTAAATTGTTACTTATGATTTGTGTGAATTGTACTGTATAATTCTATGTTTGTTTTTAAAATCTTAATAAATATTACTTAAAAAAAAAAAAAGAAACCTCCAAGGAAGGAGAGAGGTCACCCTGCTCTTCCTGGCAGAAAACTCTTCCTGATGTTTAGCCAGAACTCCTTCCTTGCAACTTGAATCAATTTGTTTGGGTCCTACCCTCCGGAGCAGGAGAAAACAAGCTTGTTCCATGTGACAGCCCTTGAGATATTTGAAGATGCCGATCTTATCTCCTCTTTTTGAGGATAAACTTACCCAGCTCCCTCCTAAGGCTTGGTTTCCGGACCCTCCGTCATCTTGGTCGCCCTCCTCTGCACATCTTCCAGCTGGTCAACGTCCTTCTTAAATTGTGGTGCCCAGAACTGGACACAGGACTCCAGGTTTGGTCTGACGAAGGCAGAATAGAATGGGACTAAGACTTCCCTGGACCTGGACACTAGACTTCTGTGGATGCAGCCTAGAAAAGCGTTAGTTTGTTGTTGTTTTGCTGCCACATCACACTGTTGACTCATGTTAAGCTTGTGGTCCATTGATGCTCCTAGACCCCTTTCACATGAGCCACCAAAACAGAGGACAGAGCTGAGTGCAACTTCAGCAACAAAGAGTGAACGTGAACATGAAATCTATTATGGTCAGAAACCAGCTTGAGAAACACAAACGGTACTACAATCCCAGTAGCAAAACAGACATTTAACTTACAATATACAACAACGGATTTTAAGTTTAAAAGTGCGATAGGCATATAAACACATAAAAACTTTAAAATAGACTACCTTAGAGAAATGACCCAAAGTCGCCCGTGGATCCGGGTTTGGGAATTTTCTTAACTAGAGTGAATCGGGGGGTGGTCTGCGCCTACAGATCTGTGCGCAGAATCTGGCGACAATCCGGGTCGCCTTGTGTCCTTTGCCTAACAGGAGAAGATCGAATTTTTGCTTTACCGGGAGGTCAGCAAGCCTCACCAGCAGGGGGTCAATGGTTTCTCTACGTGCCTCATCATAAAAGGGACATCTAAAAAATATGTGTTCAGGGCAAATGGACAGGCGCAAATTCTTTGGTCATATGGGACTTCTTAAAAGGATCCTTCCAAGACCTGCGAGGGCAGAGCCGAGCTTCTGGCAAGCGTGAAAGCCCTTCTTGCATTTTTGGACACAAGAAAAAAGAGATATGCTGCTGGTGCAGCTATATATCTCTCGATTTCTACAATTTTGTAGATGGGGCACCTTAAGCAGCCCTGTCGTCTCTTGGTGTCTATAATTCTTTGCCTAGCCATTGCTTTTGACGAAGAGTGAAGAAATCATTCTCACTTCTTGGGGGCTTTTTAGCAGAGGTTGAAACCTGGGAACATGACAACCCAATTTTCCTATTAAATTGGTAAAAAATCTCATTTTTACCCCCTCCCCAACTTTGCCCAACTTTTGTGTCTGAATTTTCACTTTATGAAATACAGTGGTGCCTCGCAAGATGAAAAGAATCCGTTCTGTGATTCTCTTCGTCTAGCGGTTTTTTCCGTCTTGTGAAGCAAGCCCATTGACGGATTAGCGCTATTAGCGGCTTTTAGCGGCTTTTAGCGGCTTATCAGCTTATCAGATCAGCTGATAAGCGGCTTAGCGGCTTAGAAAAAGGGGGGGGAGGGAAAAACCCGCAGGAACTTGCAAGACATTTTCGTCTTGCGAAGCAAGCCTATAGGAGATTCGTTTTGCGAAGCACCTCCAAAACGGAAAACCCTTTCGTCTAGCGAGTTTTCCGTCTTGCGAGGTGTTCGTCTTGCGGGGCACCACTGTATGGCAACCTTACATCTAGGGATTCTCTTTGGGCTTCCCCCACCCGGTTGAGAATCAAATCCTTTGTCCTAGCTGAGAGAAGAGCCAGCCTTAGCTCCCTGGGCCTCATCCTGCCTTCTTTCTTTGCCTCCGGCAGGGGAGCAGTTTGCCGTCTTCCGGAACTCGGATGGGAAAGTTTGTGTGGTGGATGCCTATTGCCCTCACCTGGGCGCCAACCTGGGTATTGGAGGCCAGGTAGTGGGCAGCTGCATTGAGTGCCCGTTCCACGGCTGGCAGTTCGACGGAGAGAGCGGCAAGTGTGTCAGGATCCCGTACGCCGAGAAAGGTGAGACGCCTTTGGCCATCTCATTGAACCCTGAACGTGTTTTGCACCTGGGGCCTGGCAAAGCAGAAATCCCTGAAGATAAGCATAGGTTCTGTTAAAACCAGGAATGGGGGGCAATTAAATGACTCCCCCCAAATCCCAAGTCCCCACCACAGCCTCAAACTAAGGCCAGGACAATGACCTTTGACACAGGCACCATATTACACAACAGCAAAGAGTCTCAGAAAAGCAGTCTATAAAATTGTGGCAATAAGCAGATAACATGAATTGTACTGTTTCCCCTGAGTATCCAACATAGAATCAAATAATCGCCCAAATTCAATGGTTTGATGGATTTCCTTGGTTCCTATGGCTAATGACTCCTCTGGAAGAGGGGAATCTGGAAGAGGGTCCCCCTGCTTCCATAATCCCTTAAGCATAAGGTCACACACTCCTTGCCCCTCCATAAGGTGGGAATGTAGCCTCACAATAGGAGGCAGGAGGCGATCGAGGGCAGCACAAACCCCAGACAGAAATCCATTGGGATGGTGGATCGAACCCTGATACTTTCAGAGGAGAATTGTGGGGAAAGCCTTGCAGCTAGGGCAATGTGTAAATACTTTTATTGTTCTTAGGAAGCAGGCAGGGGTGGAGGAAGGGGGGTGCAGTGGGTGCGGTCGGCCCCGGGTGTCACCACTGAGGGGGGTGACAAAATGCCAGGCGGCACTCACCTTGGGGCCTGCTGCGTGCCTGAGCTACCGCACGCAGGCTCTGTGCTGCCCACACAGTCCACCCACTGCCTCCCCCCCCAGCTGTAGGGAGGCTGAATGGGAGGAGGCAGGCAGTGGCATCGCAAAGTGGGGGCAGGGGGGCAGTGCGCCCTGGGTTCCATGTCTGGGAGGGTAACAAAATGGCACTCTGTGGGGTGCTTGCCCTGCCACCCGGGTGCAGCAGCGGCGTGAGCAGGGCCTTGCAGAGACAGGCAGAGGCCTGGGCCAGGAACTAATGTGCCCCCCCTTTTTTCTACCCTGGGGATAACTGAAGCCTTATAAATAAGTAAGTATATAATTTTCACAAAAGTGATGCTGACAAATCATTTTATTTCAAGGCTTGAACCTGCATGTAAAGACAAAATGGAAAATACAGATAAATATGCTGACCAAGGCCCTCTTTGGAATCGGAGGCCCGGGCCAAGTGACCCATATGGCCCCCTCCCTCTGTCTGGGAGAGCAGCCATCGTGCCGCCACCGCCACATGTGGAGGCTCCTCCGTTCGCGACTGCAGCTACGAGCAGAGGATCTTGCCACCGTCTGTACGGCTCTCAGGTGGCGCCAGAGGCAAACCACTACGTACAACACATGCACAGTGTCGCATGCATGCGCTGTGCGTAGCAATGTCGCACATGGGCTTTACATAGCGGTTTGCCACTGGCGCTGCTGGAGCGCCATACGGATGGCAGTGGGATCCCTCCACTGCCAGCAGGAGCCACTTACGGCAAGCTGGAGCCCCCCTCCCCGCCTTGCCATAAGCGGCTCCCACTTTGCCCCTTTACAGCGAGCTGAGGAGGGAGGTAGGGGGACGGACAGACGGGAGCCGTGGCTCCTGAGAGGACATAGCTTTGCCAGCGCCCCGGCAAGGCAGCATAGCTCCCCCCCCTTCCACCGACGGCTCGGGGTACTTGGGAGTCGTGGGGTGGGGGCACAGAGGCGTAGGAAGGGGGGTGGACATTCGGCACCTGTCCACGACTCCCAAGCCTACCCTGAGCTGGGGGGGGGGTGACAAAAAAAAAAATCCCACACCAGGTACCACCTGGGTTTGCTACGCCTCTGGAGGCAGGCAGACTCCAGAGGCCCCATGGTGTGGCCTGCCCCTATGGGCGGCTCGTGCTGCCCTAGGCGCCCGCGCAGCTTCCTCTGCCACTGGAAGCAGGTACCGTATTTTTCGCTCTATAAGACGCACCAGACCACAAGACGCACCTAGTTTTTGGAGGAGGAAAACAAGAAAAAATATATTCTGAATCTCAGAAGCCAGAACAGCAAGAGGGATCGCTGAGCAGTGAAAGCAGCAATCCCTCTTGCTGTTCTGGCTTCTGGGATAGCTGCGCAGCCTGCATTCGCTCCATAAGACGCACACACAATTCCCCTTACTTTTTAGGAGGGAAAAGTGAGTCTTATAGAGCAAAAAATATGGTACTTAAAAGGTGTCAGGAATGAGGATGATGAACAGGGGTGGGCGGTGGGCTCATGCTTCTACACACCAAACACTTCTTTTCTTTTCTTGAATTTGCATTTTATTTATTTGTTAACATTCTTATATTACATCGGTAAGCGTCATATTACATTACAGGACTTACTATAATATAATTTCCAACATGTATACATGAATTATATACAAATTTTATATACCTAGAAGGAAAATGAAACAAACAAACAAAAAAGAACAAAGAGGGAAAACACCCCCCCCCCCAATCATATACATACCAACACACTAGACTCCCTGTCTTTCCTGTTGTATATTCCTTTTTTTCAAATCCATGTACTCTTATTGTTGTATATTTCTTTACATATTTCTAATGCATATATTTAAAATACGTATTTATAATACATTTCTAATACATATTATGTATATTTCTAATATATTCCTATATCAATATGTGCTCTTAGTCTTATTTCTCAACTCGGTCTCACTCCAACGTCATTCAAATGCTAGCACAGATAGCGAACCTTTACTGTATTTTTGAACATATGTTTTATATCTATCCCACTTTCCCATTAATTTTTGTTTTGAATTGCCTCTCAGGGTATTTGTTAACTGCGCCATTTCAGCAAATTCTTGTAGCAAATTCTCATGCCAGTCCATTATTGTCGGGGCTTCTTGTTCCTTCCAAACACACCAAACACTCCTACGGACATATCTGTGATGTATTGATGATGCTGTTGATGAATGTGTTATGGGAAATGGGGGGAGGTCTTAAAAGTTCACGCAACCCTATGCTCGGAGTTCCTACTCTTGGTGTGATTTGAACCTTCCTGCAACAATTAAAGATCAGGTTTACTGGCCGCCATTTTGCTCCTTTAACTTGGCTGGTGACTCCTTCTTTTGCTGACCAAAGGGACCCACGGGGAGTGGCTCCCCGGTATATCTGCACCCCAGGATTTTTCCATATCAGTTCGCAAGCACACTGGAAGCGCTGAACACGGATGTATAGCTCGGTTCATCCGAGCTCTCTGGCCTTCATCTGAATCAGGAGACACGGGTCCCACCGGGCTGCCTCTGACGCCTGCTCCCTCTCCCCACAGTGCCCGAATTCGCCAAGATCAAGGTGTGGCCGTCGTGCGAGGTCAGCGACATGGTCCTGGTCTGGTACCACTGCGACGGCATCGACCCGACGTGGCGAGTCCCTGACCGCGAGGAGTTCCTGCCGCGCCCGTGCCCCTTCCGCGGCCTCACCGAACACTTTGTCAACGTGCACATTGAGGTGCTTGCGGGGGCACAGTCAGGCAGGGCGCTGTGACGAGTCGGGGGTCCCGAGGGAGGGGGTGGGCAGGCGTCACAGCATGATCTGATGGTGGCACTTGGTAAGGCTCGGTGGCAGGATTTGTGCGGGGTTGGAGAGTGTGTGGAGGGGAAGCCCATGCAGAGCAGAATAATAATAATAATAATAATAATAATAATAATAATAATAATATCTTTAAACCCTCCCCAGCCACTCTGGGCAGCTCCCAACAAAATATTAAAAACACGATAAAACTTCAAACATTAAAAACTTTCCTAAACAGGGCTGCCTTCAGATGTCTTCTAAAAGTCAGGTAGTTGTTTATTTCCTTGACATCTGAAGGGAGGGCATTCCACAGGGCGGGTGCCACCACCGAGAAGGCCCTCTGCCTGGTTCTCTGTACCCTCACTTCTCGCTGTGAGGGAACTGCCAAAAGGCCCTTGGCGCTGGACCTCAGTGTCCAGGCTGAGTGATGGGGGTGGAGACTCTCCTTCAGGTATACTGGCCTGAGGCTGTTAATGTTAAAAACATATCAAAGCAACCGTCTACATTTGGAAAGGCATGCTCAAAATTGTCTTCTACAATTATGTTATAAAGTCCAGCAGGACTGATTGTTTGTTTTTTTAACCTTTATTGTTGCACTGAACTGGCAATGGGAGATTTCCTTGAAGCTTGAAATTATTTTATTCTGGACCGTTGGATTTGATTCCTTAATGGGTTGTCAACAGCCTGGAGATTTTTTCCTTTAAAATATAAAACGCTATAGAAATGAAATTGTTATTATTGTTATTATTTATAATAATATCACTGGTGGAAAATAGCTAATAATAATAATAATAATAAATTTCATTGGTAAAAAAGGGGGGGGGGACTGTTTAAGACCAAGCCAGCCCCTTGGAAGGGTCTCTGGAGGTTGTGGAGTCTCCTTTTTTGTTTTGAAGCAGAGGTTGAATGCCCATCTTGGATGCCATCCAGTTTTTGAACCGGGAAGGGCGGGGTATAAATAAATATTATTATTATTATTTGATGTTTGAGTGGGGGTTGGGCTGGATGACCTTTGGGGGACCCCTTTCCAAGCAGCAGAGGCTCTGCAGAGTTCCAGGCAGCTCTGTCCTTTCTCCATGCCAGGAGATCCCAGAGAACGGAGCGGATACGGCCCACCTCTCCTTCCTCCACCGCCACGCTTTCCTGAGTGGAGCCGACCTGCGCTATATGCACTCCCCTTTCTGGACTTTCTTCCGGCACCACTGGCAGGTAAAGGAGGCTCCCCCGGCGGGACCCAGCGTCTGAAGCACAAATATCATTCCTACATTGCCGGGGGTTGGAGCAGATGACCTTTGGGGGACCATTCCCGCTCGACAACTCTCTGATTCTATGAAAGGAGGGTTGGGGTTACCTTGGCCAAGTTGAACGCCAAAGTCAATAATTTCTAGCTCGGTTGCTAGTGGAAGAAAATGAGACGCCCAAACTCTAGGTGGTGGGTTCAAGCTCCATGCTGGGCAAATGTTTCCTGCTTTGAGCGGGGTTGGACTGGATGACCCTTGCAGGTCCCACCCAATAGCTCAGTCGGAAGAGCATGAGACTCTGTATCTCAGCCTCAAGATTCCTGTCTCGCAGGAAGTTGGGCCAGATCACACTCCCAACTCAGCAATTCTATGACTCTACCATTTTTCTACCGCAGGCAGATTGGCACCCTGATCTGGAGCCCAACGCGCACTGTTCCCGCTTGCAGCTGAAGCACAACATCACTCTCTTCGGAAAGCACTTCAGCTTCATGGACCTGAGAGTTTCAGCCTGGCAGGTACAGTCTGTGGCGAGGAGAGGCTGTAAGAGGATGGTTTGTAGGCTGTGTTCTTTCTTGACTTTTTCTAGGGTCATCTGGTTCAGCCACACACACACACATGGCAGGAATCTTTGGCCCAAGGTGGGATTTGAACCCATGACGCAGAAATTAAGTATCCTAGAACCATAGGATTGTAGAGCTGGAGGGGATCCCAGGGACATCTAGCCCAACCTGAATCCCAGCTATTACATCCCAGAACGGAGATGAAGACCCAGAACAAAATTGGGTCATAGCTTTTAAACACATTGCCCGACCCCTTAGCCAAAGACCACCTGAAAGCATCATACAAGCATCACAGAAAGAGGCGGGGAAATGCGAGAGTATGGCTTGTTTCTTGTCATGGATTTGTGGAGTGGTCTTCTATACCAGTGTGGTGTAGTGGTTAAGAGCGGTGGACTCGTAATCTGGTGAACTGGGTTCGATTCCCCGCTCCTCCACATGCAGCTGCTGGGTGACCTTGGGCCAGTCACACTTCTTTGAAGTCTCTCAGCCCCACTCACCTCACAGAGTGTTTGTTGTGGGGAAGGAAGGGAAAGGAGAATGTTAGCCGCTTTGAGACTCCTTAAAGGGAGTGAAAGACGGGATATCAAATCCAAACTCTTCTTCTTCTTCTTCCAACCCCCAGCAAGGCAGCTGTCCCATACAGGGATCGAAACTGCAACCGTGGCGTTCTCAGCATCATGTTGCGTGTCAAGACCCCGCGACCACCCCATCGTTGATGAATAAGACACAAGGACACAGATATTAGGTTAATGTTATTGGGCAAATTTAGGCCACAACTTTATTGGTTACAGAAGGTGACCGGTATTGGCTTAGGCATTGGAACTGACCTGACAATATGACAGCATCTTAAAAAGCAGAGACATCATATTGTCAACAAAGGTCCGTATAGTTAAAGCTATGGTTTTCCCAGTAGTGATGTATGGAAGTGAGAGCTGGACCATAAAGAAGGCTGATCGCCGAAGAATGGATGCTTTTGAATTCTGGTGTTGGAGGAGACTCTGGAGAGTCCCATGGACTGCAAGAAGATCAAACCTCTCCATTCTTAAGGAAATCAGCCCTGAGTGCTCACTGGAAGGACAGATTGTGAAGCTGAGGCTCTAATACTTTGGCCACCTCATGAGAAGAGAAGACTCCCTGGAAAAGACCCTGATGTTGGGAAAGATTGAGGGCACAAGGAGAAGGGGACGACAGAGGACGAGATGGTGGGACAGTGTTCTCGAAGCTACCAGCATGAGTTTGACCAAACTGCGGGAGGCAGTGGAAGACAGGAGGGTCTGGCGTGCTCTGGTCCATGGGGTCACGAAGAGTCGGACACGACTAAACGACTAAACAACAACAATGGTTTTCCCAGTAGTGATGTATGAAAGTGAGAGCTGGTCCATAAAGAAGGCTGATCGCCAAAGAATGGATGCATTTGAATTCTGGTGCTGGAGGAGACTCTTGAGAGTCCCATGGACTGCAAGAAGATCAAACGCATCCATTCTTAAGGAAACCATCCCTGAGTGTTCACTGGAAGGACAGATCCTGAAGCTGAGACTCCAATACTTTGGCCACCTCATGAGAAGAGAAGACTCCCTGGAAAAGACCCTGATGTTGGGAAAGATGGAGGGCACAAGGAGAAGGGTCGAGTAACATTCTTGCCGCTGTAGTAGCATACACAAATAAGTTTCTATACAGTTCAGGTAGTTCTGTCCCATATTCCCAAGAGATTTTTTTTTTTACGAACGTTACTTTAATCATCCTTTTCATTTCATTATATATCATTTCCCAGTAAGCTTTAACCTTACTACAAGACTACCACATATGCTAAAAAAAACTTCTTTCTCTTTACATTTCCAACACTGATTTGATTTGATTTATACATTTCTCTCTCTCTCTCTCTCTCTCTCTCTCTCTCTCTCTCTCTCTCGTTCAGTGACCTGGCCAGGCTGGTTGAAGGCACTATGCCTTGCCCTCCCCAAGGCAGATACTCTTTCTGGCTTGGCTTGCTATGTAGGTCAGAGGACCAGGATGCCTCTGAACAGCAGCAGCTGAGCAGCAGACTCCTAGAGCTGTTGAGTTGGAAGGGACCCTGAGGGTCATCCAGTCCAACCCCCGTCAAGGCGGCTGTCCCAGATGGGGTTCGAACCTGCAACCTTGGTGTTCTCTTTTTCTTTTCTTCAAATAATTTTTATTGTTTTCTTTACATAATCTTTCTTTCCATACAATCCATACATTCATCAAAATAGAAACCCTTTTGCTCTGCCGGACTATGACTTCCCTCCAGTTGGTATCCCTTATCACATTTTTTCGAAGGGGCAGAGGAACCAGAGACCAAATTGCAAACATGCGCTGGTTTATGGAGAAAGCTAGAGAGTTCCAGAAAGACATCTACTTCTGCTTCATTGACTATGCAAAAGCCTTTGACTGTGTCGACCACAGCAAACTATGGCATGTTCTTGAAGAAATGGGAGTGCCTGATCACCTCACCTCACCTGTCTCCTGAGAAATCTCTATGTGGGACAAGAAGCTACAGGAAGAACTGGATATGGAACAACTGATTGGTTCAAAATTGGGAAAGGAGTACGACAAGGCTGTATATTTTCTCCCTGCTTATTTAACATATATGCAGATTTCATCATGGGAAAGGCTGGGCTGGATGAATCCCAAGCCGGAATTAAGATTGCCGGAAGAAATATCAACAACCTCAGATATGCAGATGACACAACCTTGATGGCAGAAAGTGAGGAGGAATTAAAGAACCTTTTAATGAGGGTGAAAGAGGAGAGCGCAAAATATGGTCTGAAGCTCAACATCAAAAAAATGAAGATCATGGCCACTGGTCCCATCACCTCCTGGCAAATAGAAGGGGAAGAAATGGAGGCAGTGAGAGATTTTACTTTCTTGGGCTCCATGATCACTGCAGATGGTGACAGCAGTCACGAAATTAAAAATCAGCCCTGAGCGCTCACTGGAAGGACAGATCGTAAAGCTGAGGCTCCAATACTTTGGCCACCTCATGAGAAGAGAAGACTCCCTGGAAAACACCATAATGCTGGGAAAGATGGAGGGCACAAGGAAAAGGGGACGACAGAAGATGAGATGGTTGGACAGTGTTCTTGAAGCTACCAGCATGAGTTTGACTAAACTGCTGGAGGCTGTGGAAGACAGGAGTGCCTGGCGTGCTCTGGTCCATGGGGTCACGAAGAGTCGGACACGACTAAACGACTAAACAACAATCACATTTTTTTCGAGTATTATATTCTCACATTCTCATATATTCTATTTTACATTGTAGGAGTTACTTCTAGTGATTTTAAGTTTTTACAACTGTCTTTTAAATACTCAGTAAATTTACTCCAATTGTCCTGGAATCTCTGGTCGTCCTGGTTCCGGATCCTTCCTGTCAATTTGGCTAAATCCGTGTAGTCTGTCATTTTCGGCTGCCACTCCCCAATGGTAGGAACCTCTTGTGATTTCCCGTTTTGAGCCAGCAAAGTCCTTGCAGTGGCTGTGGCATACATGAATAGCCTTTGGTTCTTTCTCCTTTCTCATCAGACCAAGCAAAAAACAAAAACAAAAAAAAAACCTCTGGTCTTTTGGAGAAGGTATATTTTAATATTTTCTTTAGTTCATTGTAGATTGGCTCCCAGAATCTCTTCACTTTATCACAAGTCCACCACGTATGATAAGCTTGACAGTCCGTGAGGTTGCCTCCAAGCTGGTTGACAGTCTCTCTCTCGCCCCCTGCAGGTGGGGCCCAGTTTGGTCTTCCTCGTCCTTCGGTTTCCCCTCCTGGGCCAAGGAATCATCGTCCAAAGCGTCACCCCCGTGCAGCCCCTCATGCAGCAGGTGATCCACCGAATATACTTCCAGAAGAACGTTCCCGTCTTCATCGCCAAGATGATCCTCCGGGCAGAGTGCAGCCAGGTAGGGAGTGCCAGCAGGGGGCACCCAAGCAGTGGGTGGGGGGAGAACGAGACCTTCCCGGGGGCTGGAAAGCCAGCCAGACCTGCGCCCCTGACAAAGGGGTCAGGCAACATCAGAAACGCAGGGAAGAGAATCGCCAAATGGCACCTTCAACCTGGGTGATGGTCGGCCCTGAAGAATGTTGAGGCACAATTTGTTTTTGCAGTGAAATTTATACTAACAATAATCTCGGATATATAAGCGAATACTATATGTACTATAAAATAATTGTTATTAGTATTACAGTCAAACCTCGGTTGTTGAATGTACAGTGGTACCTCAGGTTACAGATGCTTCAGGTTACGGACTCCACTAACCCAGAAATAGTACCTCGGGTTAAGAACTTTGCTTCAGGATGAGAATAGAAATTGCGTGGTGGCAGCAGGAGGCCCCATTAGCTAAAGTGGTCTTCAGGTTAAGAACAGTTTCAGGTTAAGAACAGACCTCCAGAACGAATTAAGTTCTTATCCCGAGGTACCACTGGACAGTCAAACCTTGGTTGTCGAATGTAATCCATTCCGGAAGACAGTTCGACTTCCGAAACGACAACCGAGGATCAAAAGGCGGTCGGCAAAGTCAATGGAGAAAAAAAGGGAAAAAATCCCCGGAATTCGAAAATCGTTCGAAAACCAGAGCAGATACTTCCGGGTTTTTGGCATTCGGGAGCTGAAACTTTCCAAAAGGGAGGGCGTTTGGGAGTCGAGGTTTGACTGTATTTTTAATAATAATTTCCACTGTTAGAAACTCATATACATAAGCGAGTCACCAAATGGCACCTTAAACCTGGGTGACGGCTTACACTGTGGAATGTTTAGGCACATTTTCTTTGCTATTATTATTATTATTGATCGGGGGGGGGGGGGCAGCCATATGGAGATGTAATGCGCCAACCTGGCACCTGAGATTTCGGCATGGTTGCAAGTGGGCCTGCGCCTGTTGTAAAACGCAGCTGGTGGATTTTGAACCCTGGGTGCAGGGCAAAGTCTATCAAAAGAACTCCTGCACTCCATCCCTCTTCCCTGCCTGCTGCATCTCAGTGTAGGTTTCGTGCTTCTCTCCGCGCTCTGTCTCAGTTCAGGGGACCGCATGCAGATTCTTATATCAGGGAAACCTCCAACTGTAGAATGAGAAGCGACGCCAAGGGTCATTAACCACTTGCAATGCAGGAAGATGCCGCTGTCCCTTACGGCGATCAAATCTGCAACCTTGGCGTTATAGATGCCATGCTCTCACCAACTGAGCTATCCATAATAAAATAATGATAATAATAATGTACTACTTACACCCCACCCATCTGGCCAGGCCTCCCCAGCCACTGGGCGGCTTCCAACAGGATATTAATGTCAAACATTAAAAACTTCCCTAAACAGGGCTGCCTTCAGATGTCTTCTAAAACTCAGATAGTTGTTTATTTCCTTGACATCTGAAGGGAGGGCGTTCCACAGGGAAGGTGCCACCACCGAGAAGGCCTTCTGCCTGGTTCCCTGTAACCTCACTTTTCGCAGTGAGGGAACCACCAGAAGGCCCTCGGCGCTGGACCTCAGTGTCTGGGCTGAATGGTGAGGGTATTCCTGTTGTCCTGTTCCTGTCGCAGGGGTTTGCACCCTCAAGGTCCCTTCCAACTCTACAATCCTATGACTGATCTGCAGACGCCTGTCACTCTACTGCCGTGATTGTTGGAATGGAGTGACTTTTCTTTCTTTGTTGGTCTCCCTTTTCAGTTTGAGCGGGACGTCATGATATGGAACCACAAACAGTACCTCTCCAAACCGCTTCTGGTGAAGGAAGATGGGGCGATCCAGAGGCACCGTCGTTGGTTCTCCCAGTTCTACGGCGAAAAGAGCCCGAAGATTACCAGCCAAAAGGAGAGCCTGGACTGGTGACCGACAGAAGCGCCCTTTCCCCCTCTGGGTCTTTTTTCCTCCTGTCAAGGGGATCCAAGAAGTCACCACCCGCGAGGCGCACTTGGGCGACCCTGTTCAGGGAAATCTTTAGTGTGTGATGTTGTGCTTTTAAAATTTATTATGGCAGCTGCCCAGAGTGGCTGGGGCAGCCCAGTCAGATGGGCGGCATATAAATAATAAATTATTATTATTATTATTATTATTACTATGCCTGGGGACTGTCGCTCTTTGGCCAAGCAAGCCTTGAAGAAATGCAGATCCTGATCTGGTCCACACGTGAAGCTCTTTTGCTGGCCGCCCCGAAGAAATGTGGATCCTGATTTTCTCCGAAAAGATGGACTGCAACCAGTTGTTGCCCCTGAAAAATGTGGCTCTTTTGGCCCACAAGACTTTGGGTGGTATGGAATATTGCAGATACCGATATTGCACAGTTTGAACAGACTGGATGCATAAAAATTGAGTCCTTTGGGAATGAAGCATTGTCCCGACCCAAACTTTGACTTACAGAACTTTCTTTAAAAACGTAACAAAAGCATCAAAGAGATATTCAAAATATCCGTATAATATCTTGTGCTGTCCAGCATGGGCTCCGCATCTTACAAATAAAATAAACTTATAATCAGAGCGAGCAAACATAGCTCTTTCTCTCACACAGGCTTCATTGCCAGCATTCTGGCATTTCAGCCCCCAAGGCTGTGCTCCTGACAAGCCATTTACATTGCATCAAATAACTGTAGAGTTGGAAGGGACCCCAAGGGTCATCTAGTCCAACCCCCTGTAATGCAGGAATCTCAACTTAAAGCATCCATGACGGATGGCCATCCAACCTCTGCTTTAAAAAAACCCCAATGAAGGGAAGTCATTACTCCATGGAGTTTGAGAACAGAGAAAGAGCCCTTCCAAGTTAGCAGATTTGCAATACGATAACCTCACATGTGATCTAAGGTTATACACTCACCTCTTACCTTCTTGAGAACAACAACCAGTTCATTTGTCAACTGGTTAAAACTCAGAGATGACTTTTCTTGCTTTTAATATAACCCCATGGAAAATCTCTGTTAAACCTTTTCACCAACACACAGGCATTCCCATTTCAGTGTGAGTTAAACCAATTATACCTAATGTGAAAACCCCTTTGCTTGGTGGAAAGGGCTCCTTCCTTCAAAGCAGCAAGGGGAGAGTTGCACCCTCTGGCAGGGAGTGCAAATGCACCTCTTCTGAGACGCTGGGTGTTTGCACCTCGTGGCGGCTGTGGAAGGAGAGGGCTCTTGCCCACGGCAACCAGACATCTCTGCTTGCTGGCAAAAGGCTGGTTGCCTGCCGCGAATTGCGCCCAGAGAGATTTGAACGCTGCTCCTCTGGTGGCTGCCCGCATCTTCCATGCAGCTACTGCGAGATGGCCCTGCAGTCCATTTGGAGAACGAAGCTTATTGTGCAGGTTCATGATTTGCAGCTGAGCCCCTGCGCTGCAAGGGTCACAGCTGCCATGCCACCCAAGGGGCACGTCACAGAAGAAGAAGAAGAAGAAGAGTTTGGATTTGATATCCCGCCTTTCACTCCCCTTCAGGAGTCTCAAAGCGGCTAACAATCTCCTTTCCCTTCCTCCCCCACAACAAACACTCTGTGAGGTGAGTGGGGCTGAGAGACTTCAAAGAAGCGTGACTGGCCCAAGGTCGCCCAGCAGCTGCATGTGGAGGAGCGGAGACGCGAACCCAGTTACCTAGATTACGTGACTACCGCTCTTAACCACTACACCACACTGGCACTTCCACAAGCTTCCTGACTCCCCCACCCCCGAAATGGAGTCTTTAATTTCCCGGCAAAGGTAGAGCACGAAACTCTGAATCTCAGGGTTGTGGGTTCGAGTCCCAAGTTGGGCGAAATATTTCTGCATTGGAGGGGGTTGGACTTGATGGACCCTGATAGATTCCGTCAAGCCTTGCGGGACCTTGCTCCCCCTGGCGACTCATTGATTGAGCTTGTTGAGGGCTGGAATACCCAGCTCCTGGCAGCCATCGATGAGATCGCACCTAAGCGCCCTCTGCGACCCCGCAGAAACCGGGCTCCCTGGTTTACCGAGGAGCTTCGGAAAATGAAGCGGGACCTCAGACGGCTAGAGCGAGTATGGCGGGGCGCCCGTGACGGAGCCTCAAGAACATCTTATAGGGTTTTTATGAAAACCTATGAGATGGCAGTGAAGGCCGCTAAGAAGGCTTACTTCTCGGCCTCCATTGCATCCGCTAGCTCTCGCCCGGCGCAATTATTTAGTATAATTCGGTCTTTAACGTCTCTCGAAGGACAGCCAAATTTAAATAATAATCTGACACACAGCTGTGAGGCATTTGCGAGCTTTTTTGCGGAGAAGGTCCTGTTGCTCCGCCATGACCTCCCTGCCAATTTGGATACAATAAAGGAACTGGAGGCCCCTCGACTGTCCTCGGGTCCAGTATTGGACCACTTTGACCGGATATCTCCAGCTGATGTGGACAGATTCCTCCAAGCTGGAAAGCCCACCACCTGTCCTCTTGACCCGTGCCCGTCATGGCTAATTAGAGCGTGTCCAGACGAGGTGCGGGCCCCCTGGGGGATATCATCAATTTGTCCCTTGGCACCGGGATATTCCCAGGGGAACTGAAGGAGGCGGTGGTGCGTCCGCTCTTAAAGAAAACATCATTAGATCCCTTAGATCTATCCAATTACCGCCCGGTCTCGAATCTTCCATTCCTGGGTAAGGTGATTGAGAGAGCGGTTGCTGAACAGCTCGGTAGGTTTCTGGATGAAACATCTGCTCTGGATCCATTCCAGTCCGGCTTCCGCGCTGGGCATGGGACCGAGACGGCTCTGGTCGCCCTAACAGATGATCTCCGCAGGCAGCTGGATCGAGGCGGGTCGGGGCTGCTGATTCTTCTTGATCTGTCAGCAGCCTTTGACATGGTCGATCACGAACTTCTGGACCACCGCCTTGCCGATGTGGGGATCCAGGGCACAGTCCTTCAATGGCTGCGCTCGTTTCTCTCTGGTCGGGGACAGAGGGTGGCGCTTGGGGGGGAATTGTCATCGCGTCACTCCTTGGTGTGTGGAGTGCCTCAGGGTGCGATTCTCTCCCCAATGCTTTTTAACATCTTTATGCGCCCCCTCGCCCAGCTTGTCCGGAGTTTTGGGCTGGGTTGCCATCAGTATGCTGATGACACCCAACTCTATCTGTTGATGGACGGCCATCCTGACTCGGCCCCAGACACACTGACCAGATGTCTGGAAGCTGTGGCTGGATGGTTTCGTGGGAGCCGGTTGAAGTTAAATCCTTCGAAGACAGAGGTCCTCTGGCTGGGGCGGGACGATATGGGATCGAGGGGGCAACTCCCATCTCTTGCGGGGGTGCAATTAGTGCCAGCACCGTCCGTTAAGAGTTTGGGTGTAATCTTCGATACCTCCCTCTCTATGGAGGCGCAGATTACAGCTATAACAAAGGCGGCATTTTTTCATCTCCGCCAAGCTAAGCAGTTAGCCCCTTATCTCTCTCGCCCTGATCTAGCCACTGTGATCCATGCGACGGTCACCTCCAGACTGGACTATTGTAACTCGCTCTACGTGGGGCTGCCCTTGAAACTGACCCAGAAACTCCAGCGGGTGCAGAATGCCGCGGCGAGACTCCTTATGGGGTCTTCGCTGCGAGATCACATTCATCCGGTACTATACCAGCTGCACTGGCTCCCGGTGGAGTACAGGATCAGGTTTATGCTGCTGGTTTTAACCTTTAAAGCCCTATACGGCCTAGGACCCTCGTACCTACGGGACCGCCTCTCCTGGTATGCCCCACAGAGAAACCTACGGTCTGCAAATAACAACATCCTCAAGGTCCCAGGCCTCAGAGAGGTTAGGCTGGCCTCAACTAGAGCCAGGGCCTTCTCGGCGGCGGCTCCAATCTGGTGGAATGCTCTGTCACAAGAGACTAGGGCCCTGCGGGACCTGACATCTTTCCGCAGGGCCTGCAAGACAGAGTTGTTCCACCAGGCCTTTGGTCAGGGCGCAGCCTGACTCCCTCCTCTGGCAACCTGCACAGAATCTTGCCTAATCGGTTGCCAACAATTTGATTTTAATTAATTTTTATAATGAAATGTTTTTAGAATGTTTTTAGAATTTGACTGTTTGACTATTTGACTGTTGTTAGCCGCCCTGAGCCCGGCTTCGGCTGGGGAGGGCGGGATATAAATAAAATTTATTATTATTATTATTATTATTATTGATGACCCTCGGGTCCCTTCCAACTTGATGAGTCTAGGATTTGCAGCCTCCTGATGTTTCCAGTTGAAGTATTGAATGGTGTACTGGTCCAAAGCTGTGGTGCGTGGATGTAGATCCCTAGCAGCGAGCGGGAGGTGCAAGATGTCAGGGAATGGCTGGTCAAAGAGAAGAAGAAGAAGGAGGAGGAGGAGGAGGAGGAGGAGGTGGTTTGGACTTGATATCCCACCTTTCACTCCCCTTAAGGAGTCTGAAAGCGGCTAACAATCTCCTTTCCCTTCCTCCCCCACAACAAAGACTCTGTGAGGTGAGTGGGGCTGAGAGACGTCAGAGAAGTGTGACTAGCCCAAGGTCACCCAGCAGCTGCAGGTGGAGGAGTGGAGACGCGAACCCAGTTCACCAGATTACAAGTCTACCACACTTAGCCACTACACAATGCTGGCTCCCAGGAGTGGTGGGAGACCCCAGCCAGGGAACCCCCAAGGGAAACCCCAGAAGAGCCTGGGGACTGGTGATGGAACACCAAGGAGAGGTCAGAGGGAGAAGTGTGGGAAGTGTGTGTCGGATGCTGAAGGGGCAACAGGGTTTAGTGAGCAGGGAGAGCCAGTGACGGAGAGCAGTTCAGACTCTGAGGCTGAAGCAAAGGAGGGGGATCAAGAGACTGCAGAAAAATCCCAGGGATCTCCCTCTCCGGCTGAGAAAAGCTCCCTTTCCTGTTCAAGAACATGCAGAACTGATTATTGTTTATATTGATTGGACATATTGGAAGCATTTTAATTTCTATAATTTATATTTCCCATTGTCTCTTTGAAGCTCTTTTCTGTTTCTTCTTAGTTTTTTCTTCCCCCCTCTTTCTTTACTTTTACTTTTCCTCTATGTTTTCATTTCATTTCATTTATTTCATTGAACTGCCCTGAGACCTCTGGGTTTAGGGCGGTATATGAATTCAACAAATAAATAATAGATGAAAACTTAGATTAACGTTGGCTAAAAAAAGAGATTTGGTATTAAGTTTTGTATTTCTCTTTATAAACTCTAATAAAATTGGTTAAAAAAAAATAAAAAATGTGCAGGATAATGAGGGCAGAACAGAGACCAGAACCATAGAAACATAGACAGCTACCCGTCTCCTCTTCTGATTCTCCTCTACGACAGGAATTAATTTCATCACTAACCTTGACTCCAACAGCTAAATTTCTCAGCAGCTTATTCCCCACATCTTTTCCAAAGAGGGCTTTAACTTAGCCCCAATTAGCCGAAATGAAAAGGGGATCTGGACCTGCCAAGGCAGATACGGAGGTGGGCTTCCGGGTCATGTGGTCAGCACGACTAAGCCACTTCTGGCGAACCAGAGCAGCACATGGAAACACCGTTTACCTTCCTGCCGGAGTGGTACCTATTTATCTACTTGCACTTTGACGTGCTTTCAAACTCCTAGGTTGGCAGGAGCAGGGACAGAGCAACGGGAGCTCACCCCGCCCCGGGGATTTGAACTGCCAACCTTCCGATCAGCAAGCCCTAGGCTCTGTGATTTAGACCACAGCGCCACCCAAGTCCCTTAGGGACTGGTAACTTGATGCTTTTTTAAAAAGAAAAGAAAGAAGAGGAAAGCTAAGAGTCTCAGGAAGTTCTGTTTCCCTCCTGGTCGAAACCAGCCCCTTTCCATTTTGCCAAGAGAAAGCAATATATTGATATATTGATATATTTAGTTATTTCACAACATGTATACATCATTTGATTAAAAAACAAAACAAAACTCCAAGCGGTTTGCAAAGAGAATTTTTTTAAAAATGATAATATTCATGCATCTGATGGAATGTTAATGTACACACTTAGTTTCACAAAAGTGACCAGTTTACTCACCTGGGTGACTGAGATCCCTGATCCGTGGCTTTTTCCATGCTGCAAAGTCTTCCCGGATCATTTCAGTGGTGGAAGCGGACTGTTTTGTGCCTGTCTCTTTGCACAGGTGGCTCCGATCCCCCTCGAGTGGGATGAATGGGTGTGGCGTTTGCCCATCCTTTTGAAGGGGCAGAGAAGGATTAATAGGGAGAGCAATAGCAAAGCCCAGAGGTGGAGCCTACCTCTTTTTAAAAGGCTTAGCCAAAGGTTTAGACAGTTGGGGAAGACAGTTGGAAACAGAGAGACCGTTAGTTCGGTTGGTTTCTTGTGGGTGGGGGGCATAGGAGCCAGAGTGGGTTAGAGACAGAGAGAGGGAATTGGATTACAGTGGTACCTCGGGTTACATACGCTTCAGGTTACATACGCTTCAGGTTACAGACTCCACTAACCCAGAAATAGTACCTCGGGTTAAGAACTTTGCTTCAGGATGAGAACAGAAATCGTGCGGCGGCAGCGGGAGGCCCCATTAGCTAAAGTGGTACCTCAGGTTAAGAACAGTTTCAGGTTAAGTACAGACCTCCGGAACGAATTAAGTTCTTAACCCGAGGTACCTCTGTGTTGTGTTTCAAAGTATTTAAAACTTGTTTACGTTCACAATAAACTGGAATCTTTGTTAATACGTTACAACCTGACTGAGTCTGAATATATTACTGGGAAAACCTGGTTGGTGGCAGTAGAAGAGAATAGACGTGGCGGCACAGGGGCAAGAGTCCGTGGAACGACCGGGGACTGTGTGTGAGCGCCACAGGGGGGCTCCAGAATTTGCCAATAAATAATAATAATAATAATAATAATAATAATAATAATAATAATAATTTATTATTTATTATTTATACCTCGCCCATCTGGCTGGGCTTCCCCAGCCACTCTGGGCGGCTTCCAAAAGAATATTAAAATACTATAATACATCAAACATTAAAAGCTTCCCGAAACAGGGCTGCCTTCAGATGTCGTCTAAAAGCCTGGTAGTAGTTGTTCTCTTTGACATCTGGTGGGAGGGCGTTCCACAGGGAAGGTGCCACTACCGAGAAGGCCCTCTGCCTGATTCCCTGTAACTTGCCAAGCTTTCTTTTTCTAATTAAAATAGCATTTTCTTAACTGTTTCGTATCCGTCTGCAAGAAACGGCAAGATTGCAAGAATTTCAGGACGTCCTTCACTGTGTGTGTGTGTGTGTGTGTGTGTGTTTATTTACGTCCCTGCTCTTACACGCGCCCCGTGACTTGCTCAGACGTACCCGGGTGGTTTCTTAGAAATCACCGGCTTGCATCTTCGACCCGGGAAGTAGCCAGCAGGAGGCAGAAAAGCGTCACAGACGGAGGTAAAGTTGTAAATAGGAACTGTTAAGAAACAGCAGAGCGCGCGAGCACGCAAGGATCCCCCAGAGAGACACCCATGCAGCCCGAGATGTCCCGGTTCTTGCCCGGATTCTAGTGGCCGCGAGTTCCCCGGGCTTCTTGGAGGGAATTGTGCAACGCGAAGCTGCTGATGGGTCTGCGCCGGTGGCCCGTCGGGCTGCTGCTGCTGCCGCTGCTGCTGGGATCTGCTTCCTTCCTGCTGGGGGGCTGCGCAGGTGAGTGGCTTCTTCGGGGGATAAATGTCGACCCGGGAACAGAATTGGCACCCAGTACGTGCGTGTGTTTGCCCGCAACACATTTACAGTGAGCGGGTTGGGGGAGAGTGGATTTGCAGACAATGCAATCCATACCTTAGCGCCTCTTTCGCCAGCAGAAAATGATCTATATTTGTTCAGGGCACCCCCTGCCCCCTCCTCCAACCCAGAGATTAGGGTGCTAAAAAGATAAAAACGTGTTTTCCTAAATATGTTTAGATGGGGGCGAACTTTCTTGTCCTTCTCACAACAATATCGCACTTATTAGTCACTTGCTGCACATAAAAAAGGTCTCCTTTGGAAATCTATGCACCTAAGTTAGTCGTGCCCATTGGGTCTACTCTGCGTAGCAATGGCGGCAACCCTTACAAAAATTCTGCAAGCGCCAAAGAGGCGTGGGGTATAAAGCTATAAATGAATATGCAGAGCTAGAGCTGCAGCCCTCGTTTTCCCCTTGCAGAGCTATAATTCCCTGCGCCCTTTGCAAACTACAGTTCCCAGGACTTTTTTGGGAGGGAGCCAGCTGCTTTCAATGTGTGTTGCATCTGCTTTAAATGTACGGTATTTAAATGTATGGCCCGTTACCCCCCCCAAAAATACTTCAGTGCTGCCTGGTTTAACCTGCCCCCCCCCTCAGCTTTGGGAAAATAAGTATGGGAACTATAGTTTACCCTGGAAAGACCGAAACTGTCAGCAATTTAGAGTTCTTGTGGTTCTTTGGGAGCGGGGAAAATGTGCTTTAAAGGTCTGGTGTGTAGATGTGTGTGTGTGTGTGTGTGTGTGTGTGTGTGCTTTCTGTGTTTTTCTGTTGTTTCTTTTCTGCCCAGCGCCTGGCAAACTACGAAACACACCTTGGAGAACCATAGCAATAAGGAAGGGAAACTAAAGGCCTCCTAAGAAACAGGCAAGAGGTAAAACATTATCTCCCCTCCCCAGTTCCCAAAAGTCCCCCCATTCCTTCTCTTGATTTATTTACTGAATTTATTACATTTAACACACCACATTTTCACCCAAGGAGCTGAAGGTGGAGCTCCAGCTTCCCATTTTATCCTCACAACAACCCAGTGAGGTGGGCTGGGCTGAGAGACAGTGTCTGGCCCAAGGTCACCCAGCGAGCTTCATGGCTGAGTGGGGATTCGAACCCTCATCTCCCAGGTAACAAAGACCGACACTCTAACCCTTACACCACCTCCTTGCAGCCCTTTCCCGTCAGTTTATTTAGGCCTGGCTTGTCCTTGCAGGGATGATGAGATCAAAGAATCATAGAATTGCAGAGTTGGAAGGGACCACGATGGTCATTTAGTCAGTGGCGTAGCGTGGGTTGTCAGCACCCGGGGCAGGGCAAGTAATTTGCGCCCCCTAACCCGTGGATTTGCGCCCCCTAACCCGTGGATTTGCGCCCCCTAACCCGTGGATTTGCGCCCCCTAACCCGTGGATTTGTGCCCCCTAACCCTAAGCCCCAGATGTTGCGCCTGGTGCGGCCGGCCCCCCCTGCACCCCCCACGCTACGCCACTGCATTTAGTCCATCCTCCTGAAATGCGGGAATATTTTGCCCAACGTGTGGCTCAAACTCACGACCCTGAGCTTAAAACTCTCATGCTCTACCAACTGAGCTACTAGCTGAGCTACTAGATGATGGTGATGTTTTCAATTGTTAGCCGCTTGCTGCAAAAGGAGTCTGTAAGCAACTTGTTGTTGTTTAGTCATTTAGTCGTGTCTGTCTCTTCGTGACCCCATGGACCAGAGCACGCCAGGCCCTCCTGTCTTCCACTGCCTCCCGCAGTTTGGTCAAACTCATGCTGGTAGCTTCGAAAACACCATCCAACCATCTCATCCTCTGTTGTCCCCTTCTCCTTGTGCCCTCCATCTTTCCCAACATCAGGGTCTTTTCCAGGGAGTCTTCTCTTCTCATGAGGTGGCCAAATTCTTGGAGCCTCAGCTTCAGGATCTGTCCTTCCAGTGAGCACTCAGGGCTGATTTCCTTCAGAATGGAGAGGTTTGATCTTCTTGCAGTCCATGGGACTCTCAAGAGTCTCCTCCAGCACCATAATTCAAAAGCATCCATTCTTCGGCGATCAGTCTTCTTTATGGTCCAGCTCTCACTTCCATACATCACTACTGGGAAAACCATAGCTTTAACTATACGGACCTTTGTTGGCAAGGTGATGTCTCTGTTTTTTAGGATGCTGTCTAGGTTTGTCATTGCTTTTCTCCCAAGAAGCAGGCGTCTTTTAATTTTGTGGCTGCTGTCACCATCTGCAGTGATCATGGAGCCCAAGAAAGTTAAATCTCTCACTGCCTCCATTTCTTCCCCTTCTATTTGCCAGTGGCCATGATCTTCGTAAGCAACTTACACCATTTTAAAAACACCAACCATAACATTCAGTTGGATGAATGAAAAAGTTAACAAAGGCCGTAGGATAAATTCCAGCCAAACAGCAGCGAGAAAATACAATATTGTTTTGGCCGCAAAATACAAATAACATCCAGCGACATCACCCTAATTTGTAAAGCTGTCTGGCGGAAGAGATAAGTTTTTGCCTGTCATTGAAAGATGACGGTGCCAGGCGGATTTTGCTGTCCCAGATCTGGCTGGGCTCTGCGGAGAACGCCCAAAGGAATTCAGGCAGGAACGCAGGTGCAAGTTGACTTTTCACGATATGCAAGGATTCAATTGCACGGCTGGGTTGCATTTATTGGGGCCTGTGCATTAATTGGCTTCCCAGTGGGCGAAACGGTTGTGGTAACAGGTACATTTCTGCATCTCTTTTACCTCTGGCTTCAATATTTACCCCCCTAAAAAACACCTCCATGTGTGAACACACAAACACAAAAACCGCTCAGGAAAACAGTTTCTGCACCTCCTACATTAAATGCTATTTCTTGAAGCTTGTGGCATAAAAAAAGCTTCTTAATTTTTCAGGTGTCACAAGACTCTCTTTCCTCTTGGGTAAGTTTCACTTTCCAGGGTTAGTTGGATAGGCTCCAACATTGGACGGGGGGTTGGGGGGAACAATGCAAGTTGTAGTTTTAAAATCTGATTTTAAAGTTGTGTTTTAAACCTCCCCTCCCTGTGTCCTCTGCCCCTGGCATGTTGCAGTCTTGATAACAACCACAACTGCACCCACCTGGTACAGCGACATTAGGTGTAGTTCAGCTCTTTATTTGAAGGGAAAACAGCAGATCGGCAGAATAAAAAACAGGAAATGTCGAACCTTCCCCCGTACCACAATCTCCACCTCGGAACCACGTCTTCAAGCTGAGCTTTCCAGCGACAACACCGAGCTGAAAACTTCTGCTTTATGTTTTTCCTTGCGCAATATCCGTTTGGGGCAAACAAAGAGGACTAGAAAGTTTGTCACTATTTTGTGACATTTTAGTTGGTGGTCAAGTAAAATGTGCAGAAAACAGACGGCTGAATAAAAGGCATTGCCCAGCATTGCAGTGCTAACATCTCTAATATTATTCATTACCTTTTTAGATTCTTTTCCCCCCAGAGAAGGGACCCAAAGCAACTAGCAAAGCGCTATGGCCTTCAAAATAAAGCACAAAAGAACTGCTCTTTAATCCGATGGTCATTGGACTCAACTGACATTTGGGTTTTTTTTTACTTTTGATGTGATTGTGCCAATTTTCTTGCATGTGTGCTGTCCACGGTGATATTTTTTATTAGAGAGTGCATGGAACTGCAAGGAACATACACACGCCCACACGTGAATAACGGCTAAAATATTGCATTTCTTCAAGTCAGCAAAGAGTGACAGCATTGATAGCTCAGGGTTTGAGCTCCATGTTGCACAAAGATTCATGGATCATAGAATCATAGAATCTTAGAGCTGGAAGGGACCCCAAAGGTCATTTAGTCCAACTCACTGCAATGCAGGAATCTCAACTAAAGCACCCATGACAGAAGGCGTTCCAACCTCTGCTTAAAAACCTCCAAGGAAGGAGAGTCCACCAGCTCCCGAGGGAGACTGTCCCACTATCAGACAGCTCTTACTGTCAGAAAGTTCTTCCTGATATTTAGTCAGAATCTCCTTTATTGAAACTTGAAGCCGTTGGTTTGAGTCCTACCCTCCTGAGCTGGAGAAAACAAGCACGCTCCATCTTCCATGGGACAGCCCTTGAGATATCTGAAGATGGCTCTCCTATCTCCTCTCAGTCTCCTCTTTTCCAGGCTACTCAGCTCCTTCAACCATTCCTCATAAGGCTTGGCTTCTAGACCCTTGATCATCTTAGTTGCCCTCCTCTGTGTGGGATGTGAAACACAAGAGCAGTCAAGTACAACATTCCTAGAGTGAACATGCTTACACATGGGGAGGAATGCTTGTCCAGCCAGCAGGTAAACTTCCTGTTTCCTTCTGGGCTGGGACAGACTTCCTCTGCATGTGACTAGAGGCGGGCGTGGCCTCACCTGTGCAGGTAACGACAAAAGCACAGGGCAGGACAACCATCTTTCTCTCCATGACTACTTTCGTCGAAGAAGCAACATCTGATTAGCCAAAGATGCTCTCTTGGCCTCCAGCCAAGAGAAGACAAAGGGACTGACTCCTTATGGGATAGTTTCCAGGTGTATGTTACTTTTCTAAGCTAAATCTGCCTTCTGGGATCCGATTGTGAACATACGGTAATCTTCTTTTATAGAAGACTGTGTCATGTCTTATCTTTTATGAGGGAATAACGGGAAAATACCAGAACGGTTATTATAGAGGCTTTAGCAAGCCTGAGCAAATGCATCCGCCGTGAGTTTAAAAGGGGGAATGTTACTCTGCTAAATTGTAAACTTGTTTACACAAGTTGGAAAGGCTATAATCAAACAATATATCCTCTCCTGCATCCCTGATCATTCCCACACTCTGCGCATGTTCTAGCTTGTCAACATCCTTCCTAAATACTTAGAAATCTTTAGCTGAGCTTCCTGCATTGTCGGGGGTTGGACTAAATTGCCCTCAGAGATACCTTCATTTTATGATTCTTGTTGTTGTTTAGTCGTTTAGTTGTGTCCGACTCTTCGTGACCCCATGGACCAGAGCACGCCAGGCACCTCTGTCCTCCACTACCTCCCGCAGTTTGGTCAAACTCATGCTGGTAACCTCGAAAACACTATCCAAGCATCTCGTCCTCTGTCGCCCCCTTCTCCTTGTGCCCTCCATCTTTCCCAGCATCAGGGTCTTTTCCAGGGAGTCTTCTCTTCTCATGAGGTGGCCAAAGTACTGGAGCCTCAGCTTCATGATCTGTCCTTCCAGTGAGCACTCAGGGCTGATTTCCTTAAGAATGGATGTGTTTGATCTTCTTGCAATCCATGGGACTCTCAAGAGTCTTCTCCAGCACCATAATTCAAAAGAATCAATTCTTCGGCGATCAGCCTTCTTGATGGTCCAGCTCTCACTTCCATACATCACTACTGGGAAAACCATGGCTTTAACTATATGGACCTTTGTTGGCAAGGTGACGTCTCTACTTCTCAAGATGCTGTCTAGGCCTGTCATTGCCCTTCTTCCAAGAAGCAGGCGTCTTTTAATTTCGTGGCTGCTGTCACCATCTGCAGTGATCATGGAGCCCAAGAAAGTAAAATCTCTCACTGCCTCCATTTCTTCCCCTTCTATTTGCCAGTGGCCATGATCTTCGTAAGCAACTTACACCATTTTAAAAACACCAACCATAACATTCAGTTGGATGAATGAAAAAGTTAACAAAGGCCGTAGGATAAATTCCAGCCAAAAAGCAGCGAGAAAATACAATATTGTTTTGGCCGCAAAATACAAATAACATCCAGCGACATCACCCTAATTTGTAAAGCTGTCTGGCGGAAGAGATAAGTTTTTGCCTGGCATTGAAAGATGACGGTGCCAGGCGGATTTTGCTGTCCCAGATCTGGCTGGGCTCTGCGGAGGACGCCTTTTCTTTATGGTCCAGCTCTCACTTCCATACATCACTACTGGGAAAACCATAGCTTTAACTATACAGACCTTTGTCTGCTTTTTAAGATGCTGTCTAGGTTTGTCATTGCTTTCCTCCCAAGAAGCAGGCGTCTTTTAATTTTGTGGCTGCTGTCACCATCTGCAGTGATCATGGAGCCCAAGAAAGTAAAATCTCTCACGGCCTCCATTTCTTCCCCTTCTATTTGCCAGGAGGTGATGGGATTCTACTGGATTCTACTGGAGTCCTAATTCTGCCCCTCTCTGTCTTCCTTTCCAGGCTCCTCCTCGCACTCCTTGCACTATTTCTACACGAGGGTGTCTGAGCCTGGCCAGGGGCTTCCCCAGTTCACTGCTCAGGGGTCCATTAATGACCATATCTTCATTCAGTACGACAGTGACAGGAAAAGAGCCCTTCCTCAGGCGCCCTGGGTCCAGAAGGTGGGGCAGGACTACCCCCATTACTGGGACAATATGACCCAGATCTTTCGGGATGCTGAGGAAGTCTTCCGGGTCATTCTGGAGAGTGTGCAGCGTGACCACAAGCAGAGCACAGGTGAGTGGGTGCTGCAAGGGGCAGCAATAATAATAATAATAATAATAATAATAATAATAATAATAATAATAATTTATTTGTACTCCGCCCATCTGGCTGGGTTTCCCCAGCCACTCTGGGCGGCTTCCAACAAAGATGAAAGATACACTAAAATGTCACATATTAAAAACTTCCCTGAACAGGGCTGCCTTCAGATGTCTTCTGATTGTCAGGTAGATGTTTATCGCTTTGACATCTGATGGGAGGGTGTTCCACAGGGCGGGCGCCACTACCGAGAAGGCCCTCTGCCTGGTTCCCTGTAACTTGGCTTCTCGCAATGAGGGAACCGCCAGAAGGCCCTCGGCGCTGGACTTCAGTGTCCGGGCAGAACGATGGGGGAGGAGACGCTCCTTCAGGTATACTGGGCCGAGGCCGTTTAGGGCTTTAAAGGTCAGCACCAACACTTTGAATTGTGCTCGGAAACATACTGGGAGCCAATGTAGGTCTTTCAAGGCTGCTCCCAGTCACCAGTCTAGCTGCCGCATTCTGGATTAGTTGTAGTTTCCGGGTCACCTTCAAGGGTAGCCCCATGTAGAGCGCATTGCAGTAGTCCAAGTGTGAGATAACCAGAGCATGTACCACTCTGGCGAGACAGCCTGCAGGCAGATAGGGTCTCAGCCTACGTACCAGATGGAGCTGGTAAACAGCTGCCCTGGATACAGATTTGACCTGTGCCTCCATGGACAGCTGTGAGTCCAAAATGACTTCCAGGCTGCGCATCTGGTCCTTCAGGGGCACAGTTACCCCATTCAGGACCAGGGAATCCTCCACACCTGCCCGCCTCCTGTCCCCCAAAAACAGTACTTCTGTCTTGTCAGGATTCAACCCCAATCTGTTAGCCGCCATCCATCCTCCAACCGCTTCCAGACACTCACACAAGACCTTCACCGCCTTCACTGGTTCTGATTTAAAAGAGAGGTAGAGCTGGGTATCATCTGCATACTGATGAACACCCAGCCCAAACCTCCTAATGATCTCTCCCAGTGGCTGCATGTAAATGTTGAAAAGCATGGGGGAGAGGACGGAATCCTGAGGCACCCCACAAGTGAGAGCCCAGGGGTCTGAACACTCACCCCCCACCACCACTTTCTGAACATGACCCAGGAGGAAGGAGAGGAACCACTGTATGACAGTGCCCCCAGCTCCCAGCCCCTCAAGACGGTCCAGAAGGATGTTATGGACAATGGTATCAAAGGCCGCTGAGAGATCCAGCAGAACTAGGAAACAGCTCTCACCTTTGTCCCTAGCCCGCCGGAGATCCTCAACCAGTGCGACCAAGCCCCCCTCCCCAATATTTATCCCTCCCCTGGTCAGGAAATGGGGAGCAGGGGGACGACAACTGGGAGAAAAGGAAGGTGGAGCTCTGCTCTGCACAGAAGCTCCTTCTCCTTCCATGCACCAAGCAGTTTGACTGTAAGCTTAGCAGCACCCAAGTGACCTCCCTGGGGTGCAAGCCTGGGCAGTGTGTCTGGAGGTCCTGCACTGCTCAGACGACAAGACCCCCTCTCAGCCTCGCCGATGTGCTCCAAAGGAAAGCAGAGCAAGACGTTTGGTACCAACTGAGCTGCAGGAGTTGCCCGAAGGAGGCGTACAAGGCGCCATTCAACCATCCTCGGGACTCCACTCTGGATTTATGTAGAGTTTGCTCCTGAGAGCCTTTTCTTCTCTGCAAGTCAACAGAGGTTTAGGATCGGCGTTTTCCTTCTCCTCGATGGTCTCCCTTCCCTGGTGGACGAGCCCCATCTGCCCCTCACTTCTCTCTGCGACATGTGCAGAAACTGCCTTATTTACGGCTGGCCCCACACTTGGTTAGGGATGCGGGTGGAGCTGTGGGTTAAACCACAGAGCCTAGGACTTGCCGATCAGAAGGTCGGCAGTTCGAATCCCCGCGACGGGGTGAGCTCCTGTTGCTCGGTCCCTGCTCCTGCCAACCTAGCAGTTCGAAAGCACATCAAAGTGCAAGTAGATAAATAGGTACCACTCCGGCGGGAAGGTAAACGGCGTTTCCATGCGCTGCTCTGGTTCGCCAGAAGCGGCTTAGTCATGCTGGCCACATGACCCGGAAGCTGTATGCCGACTCCCTCGGCCAATAAAGCGAGATGAGCGCCGCAACCCCAGAGTCGGTCACGACTGGACCTAATGGTCAGGGGTCCCTTTACCTTTACCACACTTGGTCTCATCTGTTCGATCCCCTGGGGCCTGTCTTTGCATTCAGGGGAAGCCCCTATTTACACTTGCCCGTAAATCCCACCGAAATCAAAGGGACTTGCTTCTGCATGGACAAGTACAGTCATAAAGGTAAAGGTAACGGTACCCCTGCCCGTACGGGCCAGTCTTGCCAGACTCTGGGGTTGTGCGCCCATCTCACTCAAGAGGCCGGGGGCCAGCGCTGTCTGGAGACACTTCCGGGTCACGTGGCCAGCGTGACATCGCTGCTCTGGCGAGCCAGAGCCGCACACGGAAACGCCGTTTACCTTCCCGCTAGAAAGCGGTCCCTATTTATCTACTTGCACCCGGGGGTGCTTTCGAACTGCTAGGTTGGCAGGCGCTGGGACCGAGCAACGGGAGCGCTCCCCGCCGCGGGGATTCGAACCGCCGACCTTTCGATCGGCAAGTCCTAGGCGCTGAGGCTTTTACCCACAGCGCCACCCGCGTCCCGAAGTACAGTCATACCTCGGGTTAAATATGCTTCAGGTTGAGTGACCCGGAAGTAACAGACACAGGTTGCGTTCACTTCAGGATGCTAACGGGGCTCCAAAACGGATCCCGTTCACATCCAGAGGTACCACTGTACATAGGATTGCACTGTCGGAACTTGAGTGACGTTAAACTTGGAGGTAAACAGAAAATGTTTGTTGCTTTCCATGGGGGAAAAATGACCTGTTTTCAATCCTCAGCATCTCTAAGTAGGGATGAGAGAGATTCCTGTCTGAAAGCAACTGCAAGTAAAAACTTGGTGCTGATGATGCTTAGCTAGAGGAACCAACAGTGGGGTGGGAGGGAGTCGTATAGCCCCAGGAGCTGAGTCAGCTGTTGATGGGTGGGAGCCACCACTGAGAAGGCCCTCTGCCTGGTTCCCTGTAACCTCACTTCTTTCAGTGAGGAAACCTCCAGAAGGCCCTCGGAGCTGGAATCATAGTTGGAGGGGACCCTGAGGGTCTTCTAGTGCAACCCCCTGCAACGCAGGGATCTTTTGCCTGCTGTGGGATTTGAACCCACAACCCTGAGATTAAGAGTTTCGCGCTCTACCGACTGAGCTATCCAGTCTGCCTCTTCTTCCTCGAGGTTAAAAATAATCAAATCTTGGATTTAAATAAACATTCACATTATCAGGATCAGAAAATGTTTAGAAGATAGTGAAATATGGTGGTGTATTTACTTTTATTTTTAGGTTTTTAGGTTTGATGCTATGTTATTAATAACTTTTTCTGTTAAGAGATAGCAAAGTGGGTGAAAACCAGAAGCGCAAGTTGGGGGAAGCCTTGGAGGGGAAGGAGGGAGGGATATATAGTAAATGTTAAGAATTTGAGATGTATGTAATGAATGAAAAAGAAAAATGAATTATTTTAATAATAATAATAATAATAATAATAATAATAATAATAATATCTTTGCCAAACCTCTTCTGTGGGTTTGTGGGGGTTTCACCTGCTCCGGTCCCCCAGTCTCTCTCCCCTGTCCCACTGACCTCTTGCCCCTTCTCCCAGGCCTGCACACCTGGCAGGTCAGGTACGGCTGCGAGTTGAGCCAAGAGGGGCACCAAGGAGCGTATGAGCAGGAAGCCTACGATGGGATGCTCTACCCCGACCTTGACCTGGAGTCTCTCTCCTGGATGGCAGTCGAGAGAGGAGCCCAGGTGAGCCAGACTGGAAACCAGACGGTCTCTGTGATGGCTTACATGGGGAAGGAGGATTGCATTGCGTGGCTGCAGAGATACCTGGACTACGGGAAGGAGGCTCTGCTGAGGACAGGTGGGTGTTTGTGTGAGGGCAGGTGCAGGGAGATGGGAACAAGACTTGTGTTGAGTTGGGTGTGTGTGCTGAAATTCTTTCATATTCTACCCAGCATAAACCCATCCTAGACCACACTGCAAAGGTGATGGGAGCCAAGAGCTGCCTAATAATAATAATAATAGTAATTATACGGTCATAGTTCTTGTTACGTTTGCTTCATGATATGTTTTTTCAGGTTGTGTCCCGCAGTGCCCCGGAAGTACCGGAAAGGGTTACTTCCGGGTTTCGCTACCTGCGCATGCGCAGATGCGCAAAATGACATCATGCACATGCGCAGAAGCGGTGCAGATGCGGATTGCGTTCCTTTTAGGCTGCGAACAGGGCTCCGGAATGGATCCTGTTCTCAACCAGAGGTACCAGTGTAATAATAATAATAATAAACGACAGCTTAGGGGGTGGCAGAGAGGACACACTTCTAGAATATTTATCCCGATCTTTTGAAATAAATAAAGAATCTCAGGAACCAAGAGGACAAAAACTTTTAAAAAGAAGGGTGGGGTGGGGTGGGAAATATAATTTATTTAGGAGACCTTTGCAAGCAGATGAAAACATTATCAGGAATTTAATCTCACTTGTAATGTAACAAATATGATGGATAATATGGACTGATATAAAATATAGATTATAGAAAAATGTGCAGTTGTAAATGTTGACAATAGGACCCATGGAGGGGTTGGGGGGAAATCTCAAGATTCAGAGTAATCTCTATATATGGATACACATCTGGATTGTTATAATTTTGTATTTGTAAAATCAAACGAAAATGATTTTTTAAAAAAGGAAATAAAGAACGCAAGCATAGTGGAGACAGACCGGACCAAGTTTTCAGCTTGAAAGGGTTTAAATCTCTCTTCTTAATGTTGGGAACCTTCAGGCTGGATATACTGTATCATAACATGTGCAGACTGCCACACCTTTGAATTATCCTCTTTGCACCACCCCGCCGTAAATAAAAGCCTCAGCCCTATGGAAAGTCATAAAAACACTAACAATGTATTTTATGGCTTCACGTCTTCCTGAAATTCTTGCTGGACCTGCTGGTTAACCCTTACGTGGCCTCCATTCCAAGGAGTTGAGGCCTTTTGTGGAATAATGTGGAACATTATTGTATTCACCCAATGTTTTGCCAGATATGAAGGGGCTGAGGTTCAGAGCTTTCCCGTAAAATTGGCTAGCGAAAAAACTGAGATGACTTCCTTTCTGTGCCTTGGCAATAAGCTGCAACCACATGCACATGCTCAGACACCATTTCATACTTAGATTTTGTACTTTTGTAGCTTGGATAGTAGTTACAAGCCTGTCTTAATTTTGCTTCATTTTGCTACTGTAATTGCTGCTTTGAGACCCAGATTATGTAAGTAAACACTGCTTTTATTTCTTCACAAAACAATGTGTGTATGATTGCTTTTGAGTGGGGGAGAAGAGGGATAATACAGTGGTACCTTGGTTCTCAAACTTAATTCCAGAATTCTGTTCCAAAACCAAGGCGCACTTTCCCGTAGGTCAGAGGGATTTGACGCTGGCAGCTCTGGCCTCTGCTCAGCCTGTGTCAAATCTAAACCTCTCTGTTCCTGCCCGTATTCTGCAGCTGGCTGTAAAGTTCCACTTGGAGCTGGTTCATTCCTGACAATTGTCATAAAATTTTCTCTTAAACCATAACATGCTGTAGATAATCATCCCCATTCTTCCATGTCTATATTATGACCAATATCTATTGCCCAATGTATCATTGAGGATTTTACTTGCTCATCCTTTACATTTCCAACACTGAGAGCCAGTGTGGTGTAGTGGTTAAGAGCGGTAGTCTCGTAATCTGGGGAACCGGGTTCGCGTCTCCGCTCCTCCACATGCAGCTGCTGGGTGACCTTGGGCCAGTCACACTTCTCTGAAGTCTCTCAGCCCCACTCACCTCACAGAGTGTTTGTTGTGGGGGAGGAAGGGAAAGGAGAATGTTAGCCGCTTTGAGACTCCTTAAAGGGAGTGAAAGGCGGGATATCAAATCCAAACTCTTCTTCTTCTTCTTCTTCTTCTTCTTATTTGGTTTAGATTTATACATTTATACTCGGTGTTAGATACCACCGATATATCACTTTTGTATCATTTTCTCTTAGACCATAACATGTTGTAAATTTTATATCCATATTCCACAAGTTCTTAGTCAAATATAAGAACCATCAAACATTTCTGGTGAAACGCTTAGACATTGCCGTATCCCATATATTTTCTGATATCTTCAGGGGTATTTCAGACTGTTTCTTCCATTCATGCTGTGGTCAGTAAGGAGCCTACTACTTGGCTGTGGTGCAGGGTAGAGCCTAAGTCCATGTCCAAAGATAATAGGGCTGGGGCAGGATTTGGAGAAAGGGATTGACCTGTAATTGCGGATATAATGGGGAATACCCTATTCCAAAAGTTTTTAACATGGGGGCATTTCCGCCAAATGTGAATAAATGAACCAAGTTTTCCACAAGCCTTCCAACATAAAGGGAAAAGGGAGGGATTATTTTTTGCCAGCTTGATAGGAGTGTGGGGACATTTGAGGAGGACACGGCCTGCTTGCCTCTGAGGACGCCTCTGTCATTTCCGCAGAGCCTCCCGTCGTGAAGGTGACAAGTAAGGAGGACTCCAAAGGCCCGGCCACCCTCGTCTGCCGAGTTTACGGCTTCTACCCAAAGGAGATCAATGCCTACTGGAGGAAAGACGGAGAGGCCTGGGTGCAGGATACCTTCCGCAAAGTTGCCGCCCCCAATTCGGACGGGACCTACCATGCCGTGCTCGGTGTTAAAACCAGCCCCAAGGAGAGGAAACATTTCCAGTGCCACGTGGAGCACGAAGCCCTGCCCAAACACCTGGATGTGGCCTGGCAGGAGCCTGGTGAGAGGCAGCAGGGAGCAAAGGCTTATGGGAGGTGAATTTTCACCTGGGGAAGGAAGAGGGACGACACCAGGGAGCTGGCAGCATTGCAGCTGATATTGACAGCCTCCAATTGGAGACAAACGTTTCCTATTTGCTGAGATGATTGAGGTCTTGTGCAAGCCTTGAGAGGTGATGAGATGGAGGGGGGCCCTTTCTTAGATGATGATGATGATGATGATAATTTATTATTTATATCCCATCCATCTGCCTAGGTTTCCCTAGTCACTCTGGGTGGCTCCCAACAGAATATTTAAAATGGGATAAAGCATCAAACATTAAAAACTTCCCTAAACAGGGCTGCCTCTAAAAGTCAGATAGTTGCTTATTTCCTTGACATCTGATGGGAGGGTGTTCCACAGGGTGGGCGCCACTACTGAGAAGGCCCTCTGTCTGGTTTCCTGTAACCTCACTTCTCTCAGCGAGGGAACCGCCAGAAGGCCCTTGGAGCTGGATCTCAGTGTCCCGGTAGAACGATGGGGGTGGAGATGCTCCTTCAGGTATACTGGGCCAAGGCTGTTTAGGGCTTTAAAGGTCAACACCAACACTTTGAATTGTGCTCAGAAACGTACTGGCTACCTCCCCGAATCCCTCTGAATTTCACGAGCTCCCAGGTCCTGTGGCCTCCCCCGTAAGAGGAAATTTTTGTTCTGGGTTTCCCGTCAGTCATTTCTCTCCTTTCTTCTCTTCAACCTTCAGCGTTCGACAGCTGGCTTCTAATTCTATGCATCATGGGGCCTGGAGTCCTTGTTGTTGGCATCTCCGTGGGCATCAGTAAGTACCACGTACCCTCCAAGTTTCCCGATTTTCCGAGGACAGTCCCAGAATTACGAAAGCCACACCGGCTTCTGATAGGATCGCAGAATGTCCCAATTTTCCCTGCCGGTGCTGCTGCCATTATGCTTTTCTAGGAGGATTAGTCAAGGGAGCATCCCATAGCCTCTCCGTGGCTGCCGCTGCCAGCCTCCTTCCTTGGGCAGCTCATTGTGGCTGCTGGAGAGCGTGCGAGGAGGAGAGAATCTGCCACCGCCAAGGCACAGCCCTGCACATGATGCGCCAGCTCTAAGGGGCAGATAAGAGGGTAGGGTCGCCCCAGGCAGTAAATCGACTAAATAATAAAATAAAATAAAATTTTGATTGGAGGGTTTTCTCAGGACAGTGGAGGGCAGTGTGTCCTCTTAGTGTGGTGTGGTGGCACTTTTCCGGAAGGAAGGGTCAGAGGCAGAAAGGGTCATGTTGGAGGGAATCAGGTAGTGCTTGGAATCTGGAAGACTTCCTACCTTTACTAGTGACAGGTTCCTGGGGTGTCTGCCAGGATCTTTGCATCCCTTTCCGTCCTGAAGAATCGTTGTCATGAGTAAAATGACTAGAGGCTTCAGAATCTATAACCCACTTGTTTGACTAGGTCTCACAACTGTTCACAGGTACCGTATTTTTTGCCCTATAGGACACACTTTTTCCCCTCCAAAAATGAAGGGGAAATGTGTGTGCGTCCTATGGGGCGAATGCAGGCTTTCACTGAAGCCTGGAGAGCGAGAGAGCGACCGACCCCTCTCGCTCTCCAGGCTTCACGGACCTCTCTGCAAGCTGCGGGAGCGCTCCCACTGCTTGCAGAGAGTTGCCGGCATGCCGAAGCCTGCGCGCGCTGAGATCAGCGCATCCAGGCTTCGCGGACCTCTCCACAAGCAGCAGGAGCCAGCGCTGGGCTCCCATGGCTTGCAGAGAGCTGCCTGTTTGGGGGCTGGGGTCGGGGAAAGCTCGGGCCTCCCCCGCCCCAGGCCAGCGCCTGGGAAAAATAATAATAATTCCCCCCCTTTTATTTCCCCCCCAAAAAACTAGGTGCACCTTATGGGACGGTGCGTCCTATAGGGCGAAAAATACGGTAAGCTCTTTACTTATGAAAGAAAACTTTTCTCGTTGTTCCTTTCCATTTGGCCACTTAAAATGTAGGGGATTTCTGTGACTTTTGGGCTTTGCAAGCCTTGGCTGTGTGCCCTCCCTTGTGGCAAGTGAAACTCATAATTTGATTCTCTCTCTGCAGAGATGTGGCAAAGACACTAAGCTGCACCAAGTAAGTGAGATATCCCTCTTTGCGAGTTTTTCCTCCAGCATGGAACAGGCCTAGGGTGGGAGACGGGCATAACGGAGGATTTGTTCAGGGCCTGTGTGAACTTGAAACAGCACAAGGTCCCTGTAAAACTGGAGACAGAAAATAAAATACTCTAACGGAAAGGTAACGGCATTTAAACCTCCCATACTCCCAGAAAACAGAAGCTTACGTTAAGGGGAAATTGAGAGAGGGGCAATTCACAGTATTCTGTCCTTCACCAGAAGCAGTGAAAACAGACCTTCTGCTGGCCTGTATGTCTGAAACTGCCGTCACACACACCTGCATAGGATCACCTCCCTTATTTCCTTTGAGTGCCTTCTCAAAACTCACCTTCCTCCGCGATGTATTTGGCTCAGGCCTGCTCATGCCAATGCCCTACTGCTGGCTTCCCCAACCTGGTGCCCTCCAAAAGCTTATGGCCTCAGCCAGTGAGGCCAACAGGGAGAGATGAAGGGAGTGTGAGCCTTTAGCAGCTTTAAGCAATGTTTATCCAGTCTGCACAGGGCAGGTTGGAGATGCTGTTGGATCCATCCGTCAACCTCTGATGGATGATTTAGAAGGATTGGGTCCAGCATCACTTTTGCTTTGTGTGTGTGCCGGTATCCTGCGACGGAGTGAGCTCCCGTTGCTCTGTCCCAGCTCCTGCCATCCTAGTAGTTCGAAAGCATGCCTGTGCAAGTAGATAAATAGGTACCACTGTGGTGGGAAGGTAAACAGTGTTTCTGTGCACTCTGGTTTCTGTCACGGTGTCCATTGTGCCAGAAGTGGTTTAGTCATGCTGGCCACATGACCTGGAAAGCTGTCTGTGGACAAACGCTGGCTCCCTCACCCTCAAAGCGAGATGAGCCCCACACACCATAGTCGCCTTTGACTGGACTTAACCGTCCAGGGGTCCTTTACCTATAGGTTGTCTAACGGAGGCAAATGTATAGAAACCAGTGGTATGTATGTAATTGCATGTCATGCTATGCAGCAAAGTGAGCTCCTTTGCTCTGGAGCAAAGTGCAGGAGGCCAACGCTTCTGATGTGTTGGTTGGGTACCCCCCCCTTTGTCCATAACAAGCCTCACCTGGATACTTTTGCCCAGAAGGTGCCCTTTTGATCTTTGCTTCCTATAGTAAGGTAAAGGTACCCCTGCCCGTACGGGCCAGTCTTGCCAGACTCTAGGGTTGTGTGCTCATCTCGCTCTATAGGCCGGGAGCCAGCGCTGTCCGCAGACACTTCCGGGTCACGTGGCCAGCGTGACAAGCTGCATCTGGCGAGCCAGCGCAGCACACGGAACGCCATTTACCTTCCCGCTGGTAAGCGGTACCTATTTATCTACTTGCACTTAAGGGTGCTTTCGAACTGCTAGGTTGGCAGGCGCTGGGACCGAACGGCGGGAGTGCACCCCGCCGCAGGGATTCGAACCGCCAACCATGCGATCGGCAAGTCCTAGGCGCTGAGGTTTTACCCACAGCGCCACCCGCGTCCCTTGCTTCCTATACATTTCATTTTTTAAAAAATCATTCCAGTAGCACCTTAGAGACCAACCAAGTTTGTTATTGGTATGAGTTTTCATGTGCATGCACATGAAAAGCTCATACCAATAACAAACTTAGTTGGTCTCTAAGGTGCTCCTGGAAGGAATTTTTTTATTTTGTTTCGATTGCGGCAGACCAGCACGCCTACCTACCTGTACATTTCATGTGCGTCTTGATCATGCCCAGGGATGGAGTCCTCTGCAAGGGGAGTTGGGTTGGATTAGATGCTCTGACTCTGTTATTCAGATGCCCCCGTCCTTTGCCAGCTTCACTGTGCTTAGTTCACCTGACACCCTCCTGTGTGTTTTTCTACAGCAAATATGTCGGCTGGAAGAGCTGTAGAAACAGAGGAACCTCTCTGACATCTGAGCAGAGAGGAGGGTAGATCACCCTACTTGTGTGGAGCTATTTTACCTGCCCAATGGCAGGACAGCGAATAAGAGAGAGCCTTGTGTGGACAGTACAGGGCTGTTCAAGGAAGAGACGCAAGCTGGAAATCCTAAGAAGCTCAGTTGGAGAATTCCAGGATGGGCCTCAGGACACCAGATGGAGGAAGCTGTTTAAAGGATTGCGTCAAGCCAGCAAGTTGAAAAATACTTGGCCCTACAATGGGCTGATCTTTGTGCTTCCTGTCGCAAATGGGATTTCTTTAGACATTTCTCCCTCTTCTTCTGATTTAAGGGTTTGGGGCTTTTGCTCTGCAGGAAGAAGCACATGTGAACTTTGCATCATTTTTTACTGCTCTCCATCATACCATATTTTAGGGTGGAAGTGTGCAGTGTTCTTTTAAAAAAAAGAAAAATACTGTTTGTGACTCTATGCCACATGTTGGTGCCAAAAATGCTAAGCTAGAAGAACCATAGTTTGACCCTGCAGAAGGGAGCTTTAGATGTTCCTAAATCTTGTATTTTTCATTGCTTAGCTAAATTATGGTGGTGATGAGGAAATTGTTTTAATAATACAGTGGTACCTTGCGTTAAGAACTTAATTCGTTCCGGACATCTGTACTTAACCTGAAACTGTTCTTAAACTGAAGCACCACTTTAGCTAATGGGGCCTCCTGCTGCCACTGCGCCGCCAGAGCACGATTTCTGTTCTCATCCTGAAGCAAAGTTCTTAACCTGAAGCACTATTTCTGGGTTAGCGGAGTCTGTAACCTGAAGCGTATGTAACCCGAGGTACCACTGTAATAATAATAATAAACCTGGAACAGTGGTCTCCAGCAAATTCTGCTGTTAAGGCTTTAAAAGAAATACAAGAGATTCTATAGATGGCTCCCTGCATCTACCTGCAGTTTGGCGATGAGTTTGAAGCCCTCAGGACTTAATCAGAGCTGATGACTGGCTGACTTGGTTTATTCCCCACTTTAACAGCAACTTACGTGGAAAGCATAGACACACACCCATATCTGCTCCCTAAAAAAAGCTAAACAACTTTGATCTGAACCCCCCCAAAAAGGGGGTAGATCACTGCCATTTTTTTTATTCTGCAAGTGGATCGCAGTCTCTTAGGAGTTGGACATCTCTGTGCTACACCAATCAAACTTGTTCAAATAAAGGAGGTGATGATTACCTGTGTTTTTATAATTTTATCATAGTATTGCAATAACATTTCAGAAGACTCTCATGCCACAAGGTTCTGTGTCTTTTGCTGCAACAGCTACCTGTCTGGAATTTGTCACAGCTGTTTCATTTCCACCTCCCAGGATTTAAAATATATATTGTATGCAAATCAGGAAGCTGAGGCTATTTTACTTACAGCGTTTCTCTCCTGCTCTTAGGCCAAAAAAGGGTCCTAAAGCAGCTTACAAATGTCAGCAGTAAGACGGTCCCTGCATTCAGGCTTATATTAAAAAAGACACAACACAAAAGGAAAAGGGGTTGGGTGGGAGGAGGAAAAAAGGAAGTTTAAGATACTATCTGGCAATGGACACCACTCACTATTAATGACACTTTTGGCCCTGGTGAAAGGATTGCAAGCTGTATAGAATGCAGGAGAACCATTATGCCCTGAAAGAAGGAAAAGGAGGGATGGGGTGGTTTATGTTTAGGAGAAGTGCCAAATTGTAAACCAGCAAAAAGGCAGGATATAAATGCAATACAATCAATTTATTACTTACAGAACTGGGTGTATCAAGTGAGGTCATGTCTGTGTCCCTATTGATGCTGCTTTCCCCCCTCCTCCCTACATCATTTCCTTCCCACACTACTCAGATTCCCTCCCTACTTTTTCGACGGAAATTCTGAAATCGAAATTTAAAACCATTCAACAAAGCAATGATACAGGAAAACTGAGCTACGGGCAACGTTCAAAGTGTGTCATACTTTAAAAGCCTGTCAGAACAACAACAAAAATTCCCTCTTGGCAGTTGTCGACCACCTCATCTCTGGAAAGGAGAGGGAGAAAAGTCATCTGCGGAGGAGAGGACGGGAGAAGACCCCACTTCAGGGTCCCAGGCCACAGAGGACTTTCAAAAGTGAAATATACACAAGAGTCGCAAAGTGATTTCATGCTCTTTATTCAGCTCATAGTGGTGAGGAGGAATGAATGAATGTCCCCTCAAAGTATCTGCTTTATATACATTATTTATACAATGGGCTGCACATGATTGGCTAATCCCGGAATTCTACTGTAAGCCAATCAGGTTGTGGATTCGCTTCTATCTGGAGAATGATTGGGTGGTTCCTGCCAACCAATCATACTGCTGCATTGTTCTAGGACCAATCAGACTGCTGCATTTTGGATCCTATTGTTCTAGGACCAATCAGACTGCTGCGTTTTGGATCCTATTGTTCTAGGACCAATCAGACTGCTGCAGTTTGGATCCTATTGTTCTAGGACCAATCAGACTGCTGCGTTTTGGATCCTATTGTTCTAGGACCAATCAGACTGCTGCGTTTTGATCCTATTCAACTCAAGTACATAACAAAAGTATTCGATTTGGAGAATTACAGGAGAATTTGGCAAACCCTTGTGGTTCTCCAATGAATATTTTCACCTCCTCCGTGATGCACGTGGACCCTCCTGAGTCTCCCAGCAACTTTCAAGTTTTTTACCCCCTCCCTGCATCTCTCCCAGCAGAAAAGGCAAGAGGAACGGGGAGGGGCGGAGTCAGGGGAGAAGTTTCGCTTTCGCTTTCCAATCCATCTCTCCCACGCTTCAGATCTACCCGGCAACCGTCGACGCAATCTGCACGCCGTTTTTCCATTGGTGGAATATTTCCGCCGCGGCTCCTCTTCCGGACCCTTCTGCTGGCGGGGCGGGGATCGCTTCGTCCCGATGGGGCTCCTCATCCGTGGGGCTCCATGGATCCTGTGCGCTGCTGCCCACCTGCTCCTGCTGGACTGCGCTGGTCAGTACCTCCGGGGCTGAACTGCGCGGCGGGGCGGAAAGAAAGACCCCCAAGTCCAAAGATCCCGGGGTTGTGGGTGTGACTTTGCTGGTCACCCAAAGGGGGAAGACCAGGGGGGAGCTCCCTACCCGAAGTGGAGCCAGATCCCTTGGGAAATACCTGTTTTTCTCAGACTTTTTGTTTTGCATGCCGCCTTGGGGGCAGGGAGAGTTTCAGAGGAGCGCAAGGCGAGAATTAAGGGACTTGGGGGTCGTGTTTGTGGGGCTCATCATCATCTACCTACCAGTGCAGCGCTGGTCTTTTCCCTAACGCACACGGTAATGTGTGAAGAGAGCTACTAGCAAGGGTGGGTGCGTGATCTGGGTGGCTATGAACTGGGAAGTCTACGGAGTAATTGGCAAAAGGGAGTCCTTCTTTGCTTCAGGTAAGGATGTGCTGTGTCGGCTCCTTGGTCCACCTAGTGGCCAGGGTTGGAATAGCTCGTGGGAACGGGAGCTCTGCTGGGGAGGGCTGGTTCAAATTTTACCTGTGCCATTCACAAACTGACCAGGTTTACCACACCTGTCAGCCAAACACCCATTCCCACCACCCTTCTGAGTACCGTATTTTTCGCTCTATAACACGCACCAGACCATAACACGCACGTAGTTTTTAGAGGAGGAAAACAAGAAATAAAATATTCTAAACGAAACAGTGGATGTACGATTTTTGTGGTTCATGCTGTGGCCACAGACATGTGATCTGACAGTGAGTTTGGAGTAGCTCAATGCAAAAGTCCTGAAGATCCATGTGGATCCATGCTTTGTAACCACGTTTTTGCACCACTGAGGCCCCAGGCAACAGTAGGTGCGTGATTATTTTGGTGCAAGCTGTAGCCATGGACATGCTATGTGATCTGATGGTGAATTTGGGGTGACCCAGTGCAAAAATCCTGAGGATCCATGTGGATCCGTGCTTTGTAACCACGTTTAAAGTGGGGAGGGAAGGAAAAGCACTCAAGGGACAAGGAGCACGTGTGGGGTGTGTGGAGAAGGATGCTGCTAATAATGAAGAAGAGGAGTATAAGGGGAGAAGGCTCCTCTCCTCTCCCACTTTGCTCATACCAAGAACAAACTTAGTTGGTCTCTAAGATGCTACTGGAAGGAATTTTTTTTATGATGGAAATTAATTAAAAATGAAATAATTCTAGCACCCTCCCTTTTTGCAGAATGACACATACGTATTAGCCGTGCTTAGAGAGATCTGGGCAAATTCATCTATGGGGGCCTGGTGATAATTCCCCCCCCCAGGTGATGTGAGCTTCAGCACCCGCAGCTCCCTTTCATATTTAAAATCGGGGGTGGCAATACTGACCTGCTGCTTTGCAGGGTCGTTGTCAGGCTTAGGAGAATGTCAAATGCTCGGAACGCCTTATTTTGCTGCCCCTTTGCTGTCCTGTCTGTCTGTCTGTCAGTGGTTCTCCAGACACAGCTGCCTTTCATCTTTAAAACTGGCAAAACTGACACAGGACAAATAAAAGAAGACGCCTTCGTCCCGGTACGGTTCCTCTTTATCACATACACAGCCCAACAAGACAACAGGAAGGATCCGCCGACAGCATATGAATCAATCTGGTTAACCTGATCCAAACACACACACACACACACACACACACACACACACACACACATGCCCTCACTCACACACCAAAACAAATCTCACCACTTAAGGAATGTTGAATGATGCTGGATTGAAATTAAGTGGTTTCAAGCTGTAACTATGATAAAACGACTTTCTTTCTGTAAGCAAGAATTTAAAGCTATAATAATTTAAGATGTTGAGATCAGGATTTGCTGTATAAACAACTTAAACTGGGTATACAAGAAGGGGAGGTATGAGGAGGTCGGGGAAATAAGTCACAAGAAAATAAGTTGTGAAATTTAAGTGTTTTTAATATTTTTATGTTTGTTTTTTCTTTTGTTTGTAAAAAATTGGAAACTCTAATAAATATCTTTTTTTTTAAAAAAACAAATCTCACCACAGCCAAGCAAAGACAACCAAACACACATTAGGCTACCCCCAATCTCTCTCACCACCAAGGAAATACAACGAGCGAATAGTAAGAGAACACACACAAGTGACGCTGACACAAAATCCCACACATACACTAAGTAGAAGCATTGCCACCCGACCCCACCCCACTCACCATTCGCCCTCCCGCTCTTCCCCCTTTTTTCTTACACTAACACTGTATACGCTAATGTCACACAACAAATGAAACCGATCTGTAGAAAACACGACTTGAAAAAAGAGACAATGCACGTATTTTTGTAAATGACAAAATCTTTAATAAAAATACAGTCGTACCTCTTGTTACGTCAGTCTCCGGTTGTGTTTTTTCAGGATATGAACCCGGCAAACCCAGAAGTGTATACTTCTGGGTTTTGCCACGCGTAGAAGCAGTACTCTACTTTCGGACTTTTCAGGGTGCGAACGGCACCCCGGAAAGGATTGAGTCTGTAACTAGAGGTACCACTGTATTTTAAAAATAAAACTGGCAAAACATACACACGTTCAGTGTCTCTGGGTGCAGCGGTTTGCCACTCCCTCAGGCGCTGGGCGCATTTGTGATTGTTCGTCTAGAACAAAACATTTAGGCTGAAGTCCTTGCTTTCCTGGGTGTAAGCCCCATTGAACTCAATGGGACTCACTTCAACACAGAGGTTGGCAAGGTTTATCTTGCCTGGGCTGGATCAGTCCCATGGGCCGGATTGCGTGTGCGATTTTCAGCATCTGCGTATGGACAGGTGCAATTTTTGGTGGCTGCGTCTATGCAGATGCGATTTCCGGCACTGCGGAAGCAAGTCCCTGCACCGCGCTGTGCAATGCACTAGCAGGCAGCTCGGCTCTGGGGTGGCTCTTGGGCCGATCAAACGACCTCCATGGGCCACTTCTGGCCCATGGGCCTTATGTTGCAGACCCTTGTGATAACATATGTGCACAGGATGTCATGGTTTTCTGCTTTAAAATTTAAGGAACCAACAGCAGCACTTTGAGAGTAGTCTTCTCAGGTTCCTCGCAAGGATAAGGGTCTGTGAAGGTTTTTTTTGGGTGGGGTGTGGATTCTCCTCTTCAGGATCCCTAACTCTGCCCTTCTTTTGCAGCCTCTTCCTCCCACTCCATGCGCAATTTTTACACTGGGGTGTCAGAGTCCGGCCAGGGGCTGCCCTGGTTCGTTGCTGTGGGCTACTTAGATGACCAGCCCATCTACTACTACGACAGCGATACCCGGAGGGAAGAGCCTGCGGTGCCCTGGATGGAGAAAGTAGAGGAGGATTATCCCAAGTTCTGGGACAGGCAGACGCAGATCTTGCATGGCTGGGAGCAGACGTTCAGAGCGAACGTGGAGATTGTAAGCAACCTTTACAACCAGAGCAAGGGTGAGTGGAGGGTGCAAGGAGTGGCTCTGTCTCCTGCTGAAGCTTCTCCCTCAGAAGTGGCGATAGCGTCGGCGAAGAATTTCTTCGCCGCCTCTATTGCATCTGCAGAAAACAGCAGCAGGAGACTTTTTCAGGTGGTTCACAATTTAGCGGAACCACCTGCAACATCGGGGCCCAGTACGGGCCACATGTTCTCCTGCAATGATTTTGCAAAGTTTTTTGCAGATAAAATCGCTCAGATTCGGGAAGAAGTAGACTCCACCGTGGGAGCAGGGCCGGGGCGGGAGAGTGCTAGAGTTCTGTCTAGTCAAGTTGAGTGGGATCAATTCCAATCTGTTACCTCCGAGGATGTGGACAGGCTGCTTGGACGAGTGAAACCAACCACCTGTCTCCTGGATCCTTGCCCATCCTGGCTTATAAAAGCTAGCCGGGAAGGGCTGGGCGATGGGCTTCGTGGGGTGGTGAATGCTTCCCTCCGTGAGGGAGCCTTCCCAGACCCGCTGAAAGAGGCTGTTATTAAACCGCTTCTTAAAAAAACATCTTTAGATGCGGCCACGATGGTCAATTATCGCCCAGTCTCAAATCTTCCATTCCTGGGCAAGGTAATTGAGCGAGTGGTTGCCGAACAAATCCAGGCACGCCTGGAAGAAGCGGACCATTTGGATCCCTTCCAGTCGGGATTCAGGCCTCATCATGGGACTGAAACTGCCTTGGTCGCACTGGTTGATGATCTCCGGCGGGCTAGGGACAAAGGTGAGAGCTGTTTCCTAGTTCTGCTGGATCTCTCAGCGGCGTTCAATACCATCGACCATAGCATCCTTCTGGACCGTCTTGAGGGGCTGGGAGCTGGGGGCACTGTTATACAGTGGTTCCGCTCCTTCCTCCTGGGCCGTGTTCAGAAAGTGGTGGTGGGGGATGAGTGTTCAGACCCCTGGGCCCTCACTTGTGGGGTGCCTCAGGGTTCTGTCCTCTCCCCCATGCTTTTCAACATTTACATGCAGCCGCTGGGAGAGATCATCAGGAGGTTTGGGCTGGGTGTTCATCAGTATGCAGATGATACCCAGCTCTACCTCTCTTTTAAATCAGAACCAGTGAAGGCGGTGAAGGTCTTGTGTGAGTGTCTGGAAGCGGTTGGAGGATGGATGGCGGCTAACAGATTGGGGTTGAATCCTGACAAGACAGAAGTACTGTTTTTGGGGGACAGGAGGCAGGCAGGTGTGGAGGATTCCCTGGTCCTGAATGGGGTAACTGTGCCCCTGAAGGATCAGGTGCGCAGCCTGGGAGTCATTTTGGACTCACAGCTGTCCATGGAGGCACAGGTCAAATCTGTGTCCAGGGCAGCTGTTTACCAGCTCCATCTGGTACGTAGGCTGAGACCCTATCTGCCTGTGGACTGTCTCGCCAGAGTGGTGCATGCTCTGGTTATCTCCCGCTTGGACTACTGCAATGCGCTCTAAGTGGGGCTACCTTTGAAGGTGACTCGGAAACTACAACTAATCCAGAATGCGGCAGCTAGACTAGTGACTGGGGGCGGCCGCCGAGACCATATAACACCGGTCTTGAAAGACCTACATTGGCTCCCAGTATGTTTCCGAGCACAATTCAAAGTGTTGGTGCTGACCTTTAAAGCCCTAAACGGCCTCGGTCCAGTATACCTGAAGGAGCGTCTCCACCCCCATCATTCTGCCCGGACGCTGAGGTCCAGCGCCGAGGGCCTTCTGGCGGTTCCCTCATTGCGAGAAGCAAAGCTACAGGGAACCAGGCAGAGGGCCTTCTCGGTAGTGGCGCCCGCCCTGTGGAACGCCCTTCCAGCAGATGTCAAAGCGATAAACAACTACCTGACATTCAGAAGACATCTTAAGGCAGCCCTGTTCAGGGAAGTTTTTAACGTGTGATTTTACTGTATTTTTGGTTTTATGGAAGCCGCCCAGAGTGGCTGGGGAGGCCCAGCCAGATGGGCGGGGTATAAATAATAAATTATTATTATTATTATTATTATTATTATTATTATTATTATTCTAGATTAGTTGTAGTTTCCAGGCCACCTTCAAAGGTAGCCCCACGTAGAGTTATCTCCAAGCAGGAGATAACTAGAGCATGCACCACTCTGGTGAGACAGTCTGTGGGCAGGTTGGGTCTCAGCCATATGGTTAACTCAGAACAAGCCAGCCCCAAATTTGGCAGCTCTGCTTTTCAGCAGAATCCAAGAATCCTAAAATTGTAGAGCTGGACCCTGAGGGGCATCTAGTCCAATCCCTTCACTGCAGGAATCTCAACTAAAGCATCCATGTTTGATGGCCACCCAACCTCCCCTTAAACACTGTGAGGTTTACTTTAGCAGAGTTAAACAATCCCCCTTTTAAGTTTATGCTTTGGTAAACCACGATACACCACTGCAAAGAATGAGCCCTAAGAACATCAGATCCCTGTGTGTGGCTGGGAGCCCCCAGTGCTATTTCTCAGCATGTCTTTGGATGCCTGGCGTTAAGCTCACTGGCCTCCTGAGCCTCTTTATATTTACAGGGTTTCACACCTGGCAAGCCATGTACGGCTGCGAGCTGAGGCAGGACGGGCACGTAAGTGGGTATTCCCAATTTGGCTACGACGGGAGGGACTTTGTCACCTTCGACAAGGAGACCCTCACCTGGACGGCAGCTGACACAGCAGCCCAGGTGACCAAGAGGAGGTGGGATGCCGACTTGGCTGCCAACCAGCGCAGGAAGCACTTCCTGGAGGAGATTTGCATCGAGTACCTGCGGAAATACCTGAACTACGGGAAGGAAGTTCTGCTCAGGACTGGTGAGGGGTGGGGTTTTGGAGGGCTCATTGGGGGGAAGTTGGCCATTTCCTTACAACTTATAGGGTGGCGTTCCTGCCAAATGTCTACCAGATCAAGTTGATGATGGGGATAGGGAATAAATGGGGGTGGGAATGGTTTGTTGTGGGTTTTGGGGGGTGAGGGTAGGACTTGAAATACCTTCCTTCAAGTTAGAGGGAACTGAATCAATTCATCCATTGGGGACCTGGTGACATTTGCCCCTCAGCCCAGAGGTAGCTCACTGGGAAAAATCTCAAAACCACAAGTTTGGGATGCGGGTGGCGCTGTGGTCTAAACCACTGAACCTCTTGAGCTTGCCAGTTGGAAAGTCAGCGGTTCAAGTCCCTGCGAAGGGGTGAGCTCCCGTTGCTCTGTCCCAGCGCCTGCCAACTTAGCAGTTCAAAAGCACGGCACGGTCACAGAAATCGGACAGCGAGAAATATGCGAACATACAATTGGCATTGCAAACCCACAAAATGCTCACAATTGTGAATGGAGATGAAGCTGTAACTCGAAAGACAGTGTGTGAGTGGTTTAAGCATTTCCGTGAAGGGTAGCAAACCATCAAAGATGACCCTCAGTCTGTCAACAAGCAGAACGGCGGCAAATGTCGACAGAGTTCCTGACTTATTGATGTGGGATCGGCGTTTGTCCGAATGATGGTGGAAGAATCGCATATTCCACGTGAAATTGTTACTGAGGTTACTGAGTCGTCCCACCCTCCATATTCTCCCCATCTGGCCCCACCGGATTTCTTTCTTTTTCCAAAACTGAAATCTGCACTGAAAGGGCACAGATTTTCCAACAATTCACATGTCGAAACTGCTGTGATGAAGGACCTGAAAGCAGTATAAAAAGAGGACTTTTCCAGAAGTTTCTAACAGTTCTATGAACGTTGTCAATGGTGTGTTGTATCAGAGGGGCCTACTTTGAAGGCCTGTAAGACATGTATGTTCAAATATTTTTCGCAGTCCAATTTCTGTGACCATTCACCAAACTTTCCGATCACACCCTGTAATAATAATTCAGAAACAGTTCCGAGACAGAAACAGACTGGAGAAGATGCCAAGGGAGGCTGAGGAATCTGGTTCCTTCAAGGTTCTTCTTAATTTATTCAGGATGCTACAAGTGTGGGATATTGACTCTCTGGGTCAGGATTGAGGGGGACTCTCCCTGATTTTACAGCATCCATCCTGCCAGCCACCACAGACATCCCTCTGTTAACCCCAATGTGGCCCTTTTTGCAGAGGCTCCGGTGGTGAAGGTGACCAGGAAGGCAGACTATGACGGCCTGGAGACCCTCGTTTGCCAAATCTATGGCTTCTACCCCAAGGAGATTGATGCCAACTGGGTGAAGGATGGGGAGGTCTGGCAGGAGGGCACCCTCCGAGGATTGGTCGCCCCCAACTCGGACGGGACCTACTATCTCTTCCTCAGTGTCAAGATCGACTCTGAGGAGAGGGAGCGCTTCCGGTGCCGTGTGGAGCATGACAGCCTGGAGAAGCCTCTGGACGTGGCCTGGGAGGAGCCAGGTGGGCTCTTGGAGGGGGATTTTATCCATTTTCTATTGAATTTCAAACCCAGAGATGAAGGGCAGGGGAAGCAGCCAGAGACGCCCAACAGCTGCATAACAACATAGATTGGCAATTCCTAGTTGGATCCTTTCTGTACATCTGAGAGCAAAACAAGTTACAGTTGTACCTTGGTTCTCAAACACCTTGGTACTTGTCCGTTTTGGCTCCTGAATGACGCAAATCTATAAGTGGGTGTTCCGGTTTGCAAGCGTTTTTCCGAAGCCGAATGTCTGATGCGGCTTCCAATTGAGTGCAGGAAGCTCCTGCAGCCAATCGGAAGCCGCGCCTTGGTTTTTGAACATTTTCAGAAGTCGAACAGCACCTGCTGCCTCGCAGGCCTTGAGCTCAAAATATTATGTCAAAGGTAAAAGACGGCCACCATCTCTTTGTCTGTAAACCTGTGTGGTTCTGAGTTCACAAAGCATTCATAAACACTCTGATTTTTAGATGTGAATAAAACCTTACTATGGCTTCCCCAATTCTGTGGGGAACTCTTCCACACCTTGCACAGGTGGGGGGGGTTGGGGAGTAGAGAGAGAGAAGCACGTTCACCACCTTAACATCCTTGGAGGAAAATGTGGGATTATAATTGCAAATAAATAAAACTGAATGTCAGATCTCTATCTTTCTGCCTCTCCCATGAATGGAAAATATTGCTCTGAATTTCCCTAATTTTCCCTAATCTGCTTTTAGCATCCAACATGGGACTTGTTATTGGGTGCATCTTGTTAGCTGTCCTGCTGGCAGCGGCTGGAATTGCTGGGATCTTGGTGTGCATCAGTAAGTAACTTGTGAATGGACTTGCTGGGAATTAGGGACCTAACTCTGTTGTGGGAGAGACTATTCCCTTTTGAAGGAATCCAGGTGACTCCATGGGCTGGTCTTCTCCACTCCCCCCATCCCCTGGTGCTTGGTGTGTTCCTCATTCACCCCTGGAGATTATTAGGCAGGGACCAGAGGAGGCACCTGCCACAAGGTCCTTCCTCCTTGCAGAGGATAAAGCTGGAGGATCTCTACAAGGTCTCTTTCCATCCTAACGCTCTGATTCTGTCTCTGCAGAGAAAAGGAAAGACGGATACAGAGCAGCATCAGGTGAGTGATGCCTTCCTCTTTGCATGCTCATTCTAATACAGGTAAATTCAGGGTGAGAACTGAACGATTAGCTGAGCCATGTGTAAGTATACAGTACCTGGTACCTCAGGTTACAGACGCTTCAGGTTACAGACGCTTCAGGTTACAGACTCCGCTAACCCAGAAATAGTACCTCGGGTCAAGAACTTTGCTTCTGGATGAGAACAGAAATCGTGCAGCGGCAGCAGGAGGTCCCATTAGCTAAAGTGGTGCTTCAGGTTAAGAACAGTTTCAGGTTAAGAACAGACCTCTGGAACGAATTAAGTTCTTAACCCGAGGTACCACTGTATTTCCTTTGTACAGTGGTACCTCGGGTTAAGAGTTTAATTTTATATTTATATGAAATAATAATCATAATAATAATAAATTTGTACTGCCCTTCATCCATAGACCTCAGTGCAGTTCACAACATAAAAATGCAAGATAAAACACACAAAATATATGATAAAAACAACACATACACACAAACAAACCAATAAAAAAGCCCTCTCTCCTATCCTTTAACTGTGCATTGCACTGCGCTGATGTTGCGTGTTACAGTGGTATAGAGATAATTTAATAAATTAAATAATAAATAAAAAGCACAGAAAAAGGCTTGGGACCTGGCTTCCTGAGACTCTGTCCCTTCATCATCATCATCATTTTTAATTTGTATACCACCTTTTTATCTTAGAATACTCAAGGCGGTTTACAATTTGAAGAAACAAAAAATGTACATCTTATAACAATCTAATGCAATACAAAAATGTGATAATAAAACATAACTTTAAAATAGGCAGCCTACATAAAAAGTAACAGTCAAAAATCATTAGAATAGCATTAAATAACAACATCATATAAAAGTTAAAGAGAAATCCATTCACCAGTTACAATAAATAATTTCCAAACTATAATCAATAAAACGACAGCAAGCCACAGTACATAAAATAATACAATACAAATTGAGAAGCAGAGACTGGAGGGTGGAGAAAGGCAGGTGGAAGGAAGCCTCGCTTCGTTGTGCCCTGAAAACACATCGGTTAGAAAATGGGAGGATTCAAGGCACCGAGGAGGCAGGCTTGGTTTATTTTTAAATTTTATACCCCCCTTTCCCCCCACATCTGAATCTCGAAAGGTCTCACAGATGCAAAGCCAGATGGAGTCCTTTAACGGTGGTGTCCTAGGCTGCCAGTGGCCTGTTCTTGTCACCAGCCTAGTTGCAGTATCTCCCCTAGGGCAGAGCAGACCCACATTGCAATAATTTAGATTTGAGGTGACTGGAGGTGTCAGTGCCTGGACTACAGGGGTCAGGTTGCCCCTGTTGTGACCATGAGGCCCTGCTATGTGTGAGGAACCAACTCTCCGAAGGCGAGATCTGAACCTGCAAGGTGGAGAGAGAGAGAGAGAGAGAGAGAGAGAGAGAGAGAGAGAGAGAGAGACGCATGTCCCAGAAGGAGTCAGTGGAGTTTTTCCTCCTGCCAGGTGAGCTCCTCTTACATTGACGTTCTCCCTCTCTGTCCCCCATGGCTCCCCAAAGGAGAGGTGTACTTGCTTCCAAACTGAAGACTTTCCTGTTTAACACCCGCACTGTATACATTGCAGGCGGACTCTCCATCTTTCCAGTTGTTTTCCCAGGCCTTGGGAATGTGTTCATTACACTGTACAGTGGTACCTCAGGTTAAGAACTTAATTCGTTCCGGAGGTCCGTTCCTAACCTGAAACTGTTCTTAACCTCAAGTACCACTTTAGCTAATGGGGCCTCCCACTGCCACCGCGCCACTGCTAAGCGATTTCTGTCCTCATCCTGAAGCAAAGTTCTTAACCTGAAGCACTATTTCTGGGTTAGCGGAGTCTGTAACCTGAAGCGTATGTAACCCAAGGCACCACTGTATTTGAGTGCCTTAATTCAACGACAACGCTGTTCAGGGTGAAGACTTGTGAGTGCCACCATAGGCAGCCAATCAGTGCTGTGCACAGCCGGCTGCTCAAACCTAGCGCAGCCAGTTCCTCCTGAACTGCATCCTGCAGGGAAGGTGGTATCACCATTTTTTATTTGTATGCCGCCTTTCCACAGTTAAAAAAGCAATGCTCAAGGTGGCTTACAGCATAACAAGGTTTACATAATTACAAAAGTCATAAATCACATTAAAAAAAATATACCCAACCAAATGGGAAACAATTTCCACATAAATCAAAATCTAAAACTAAGAATACAGCATTAATATCACAGTTTAAAATGACATAGGTAAAAAATAACAGCAATTTAAACAAAAAACAAAACAAAACGGAGCTCTCTCTGCCCAGCAGCAGGAGCGGCAGTCCTTTACAGAGCCCATCAGGCCCCACTCTGGGCCAGGTGGTGAGTGGCAGGACTGGGGTCCTCGGGCGCTGAGCAGGGGAGTATGATGAAGGCCGTGCCTTATCTGACCTTACAGGGGACATTCCCAGGGTGCAGAGAGACACTTGCAATGCTCTCTGTCTGTGTAGCATATCAGCAAGTTGCGTGTGTCCCCCTACCCCCCCCCCCCCGCTGGGCAATGGTGGACCTGAGATCAGAGGAAGTTGCGCTGCCTCCACCCCTGGTGCTTAGTGGTGGGAAGATGCCTGGATTTGGGGTGTCTCTTAATACCCTCCCTCTGCACCTGACTTCTGTTTGTTTCGTTTAGAGCGCAGTGTCTGCCCTATTTGTTTTGAAGATGGAAAAAGTGCTTTGCAAACAACCCCCCCCAATTGTGCATACCTGCCTTGTTCTTCCTCTGCAGGTGACCCTGGAGAGGGTGGGGTCATCCCATGCGTGGACCTCGAGGATGCGGAGCAATCCTGATCTTGCCTTGTCATGATTCCCCAGCCGGGGCGGACACGGGAGAGTTGCCTGTGGCCCAATGATGATTGCTTGCTGATGCGGTTTTGAGGATTTGCCTCGTATGGCGAGAGTGTCAGTTTGCATTTCTTTGTACAGAAAGTATTGATCTGATGTGTAGAGATCTTTCCTGTTCTGCTTAATCCAAGAGGGTTCTGGAAGGTTTCTTCTCTGTGTGAAAGAAGGATCTTGTTTGGGTTATTTCTTCTGAGTACAGCTGGCTTCAGGGATGTGGGTGGCGCTGTGGGTTAAACCACAGAGCCTAGGACTTGCCGATCAGAAGGTTGGCGGTTCGAATCTCTGCGACGGGGTGAGCTCCCGTTGCTCGGTCCCAGCTCCTGCCAACCTAGCAGTTTGAAAGCATGTCAAAGTGCAAGTAGATAAATAGGTACCACTCTGGCGGGAAAGTAACTGGTGTTTCCGTACGCTGCTCTGGTTTCGTCAGAAGCGGCTTAGTCATGCTGGCCACATGGCTAATAGTGAGGTCAGAAAAAACCTGGGTTTTATTCTCTCTCTATCTCTCTTTCTGGTGTGATGTTTCGTATATAGTGTTTTAGTCTTATTATAAGATATTGTTAAGTTTCCATTAAGTCTGCTGCAACTGTATTTCTTATGGACAGGGCCAATCCTGAATGTATTGGATTTGTGACTATTCTGCTCATTTGCCTTCAGTAGCAGTAAAGCTCTGCTGGATGAAATATCAATTGCCTCTGGTCTATTTTCTGGGAACTCTTCAACGTGTTTAAGTTTTTCCTCCACACACGTGACAGAGAAACCCTCAGAGAGATTGAAGGATATCTCGGGAGTGATGCGGATTAAAGTTGCCAAGCAGAAGGCTGCGTCTCTGGGACTCTGGAGAAGCAAACAGAATCAGATGTGTGGAACGATGAGGGGGAGAGAAAAGGCAAGAGTTTGGCCCCCTGAGCTGGGAAGACTCCAGGAGAACCTTCAGGCCCCCATGAGAAGATGCTGAATGGAGGCAGGACAGAGAGAAGCGGTGGACAAACACCGGAAATCTGGAGAAGGGAGAGCTCTGGAGGCAGGAAATCCTGAAAGGGAGTTTGCTACGAATATGCCAGCCTGTCTTTGGGTGTTGGTGGGGAACGACTGCTTTGGGGAGCTGATTTCTGAGACACACGTCTGTTGGTGCTGTGATTTCTAGGTACAGGTGTGAGTCTTTTTTCTTACCCACTGTTTACTCTTGAATTGCAGCAGCAGCAGCAACAACAACAACTTATTTATACCCCACCCATCTGGCTGGGTTTCCTCAGCCACTCTGGGTGGCTCACAACAGAATATTGAAAACGCAGTAAAACGTCAAACATAAAAAACTTCCCTAAACAGGGCTGCCTTCAGATGACTTCTAAAAGTCAGGTACAGTGGTACCTCGGGTTGCAGACGCTTCAAGTTACAGACGCTTCAGGTTACAGACTCCACTAACCCAGAAATAGTACCTCGGGTTAAGAACATTGCTTCAGGATGAGAACAGAAATCGTGCTCCGGTGGCGTGGCGGCAGCGGGAGGCCCCATTAGCTAAAGTGGTGCTTCAGGTTAATAACAGTTTCAGGTTAAGAACGGACCTCCGGAACAAATTCAGTACTTAACCTGAGGTAGCACTGTACTTGTTTATTTCCTTGACATCTGATGGGAGGGCGTTCCACAGGGTGGGCGCCACTACCGAGAAGGCCCTCTGCCTGTTTCTCTGTAACCTCTCTTCTCGTAGGGAGAGAACGGCCAGAAGGCCCTCGGAGCTGGACCTCAGTGTCTGGGCAGAACAATGGGGGTGGAGACGCTCCTTCAGGTATACTGGGCTGAAGCCATTTAGGGCTTTAAAGGTCAGCACCAACAAGCATCAGCCAGGCTTTCCACAGCAGGTTTTTAAAGAGAAAGTGGTGGGACAAAAAAAAAAAGTGTTCACAACCATGCCTAGAAATCACAGCAGCCCACTGTAAAGTCAAAGACCCACAGGTGTCCTGCCCAATGGGGAGGAGCTGAACTGAGACGGGACGTCGTTTGTGTGTGCGTGCATGCGTGTTTATCATTGGCAGAAAATTCCTTTTGCACTGCAAGCTGGCAGTATTGTGTTACAACTCCTAATAATAATAATAATAATAATAATAATAATAATAATAATAATTTATTATTTATACCCCGCCCATCTGGCTGAGTTTCCCCAGCCACTCTGGGCGGCTCCCAATCAGTGTTAAAAACAGTACAGCGTTACATATTAAAAACTTCCCTGAACAGGGCTGCCTTAAGATGTCTTCTGAATGTCAGGTAATTATTTATCTCTTTTACATCTGAAGGGAGGGCGTTCCACAGGGCGGGCGCCACTACCGAGAAGGCCCTCTGTCTGGTTCCCTGTAGCCTCACTTCTCGCAATGAGGGAACCGCCAGAAGGCCCTCGGCGCTGGATCTCAGTGTCCGGGCTGAACGATGGGGGTGGAGACGCTCCTTCAGGTATACAGGACCGAGGCCGTTTAGGGCTTTAAAGGTCAGCACCAACACTTTGAATTGTGCTCGGAAACGTACTGGGAGCCAATGCAGATCACTCAGGACCGGTGTTATGTGGTCCCGGCGGCCACTCCCAGTCACCAGTCTAGCTGCCGCATTCTGGATTAATTGCAGTTTCCGGGTCAGCTTCAAAGGTAGCCCCACGTAGAGCGCATTGCAGTAGTCCAAGCGGGAGATAACTAGAGCATGCACCACTCTGGCGAGACAGTTCGCGGGCAGGTAGGGTCTTAGCCTGCGTACCAGTCTTAAGTCTAGCTGCCACCTTGTTCCCAGGCTCACTTTAAAGTGCACACACTTTAAGGCTGCCTCCTTCCCTACAGACCCCCCCCCCCCGCCGGGTGTCAAGGCAATTCTGCTGCCTGAGCCCTTCTCTCCCAGCCCCATCATGGAGATCTACCAGAAGAAAAGGATTAGTTGTCCCGACTGAGCTCCACTAGGAGCCGGGCATTTGGCGTCGCTGGTCCCCTGCCCTTCCAGCAGATGTACATCAGAGGACTCTTCGCCTTGGCCTTCTGGGCATCCCTCAAAGGCTGTTTTGGATGCCCATTCAGTTTAATTTCTTTTGAGATTAGTCAGTTATGATTATTTTGCATTACGTTTTTGTATTCGCATATCTCGTTGTATGCCACCTGAATATTCTATTTGAATAGGCAGCAAGTACAGTTGTACCTACGAAGTCAAACACCTTGCGAGACAAATGTTTTGGCTCTCAAACGCCGCAAACCCAGAAGTGAGTGTTCTGGCTTGCAGATGTTCTTTGGAACCCGAAAGTCTATCGCAGATTCCGATTGGTTGCAGGAGCTTCCTGAACATTTTGGAAGTCAAACGGACTTCCAGAATGGATTCCGTTCGACTTCTGAGGTACGACTGTACTGTTATAAATAAATCTAGAAAGAATAAGCCAGTCGCTGCACAATACTACCTTGCCTTTGTTGTTCTTGCCTTTCCATCATCTGCATGGACTCCAAATATGTACAGGGCAAGAAAATGAGTAAAAAGTCATTGATATCACAAGTGTGTTGTGCGTTCGTGTTTTGGCTCTTCTGCAACATGTAAATTGAATAGACAAATAAAAATAAACTTGACCTGCTTAAACTGGTCCCTTGAATGATTTCTCGGAAATCACCTGATTTCCATTTCAGCTGGGGAAGAAAGCAGCCGGCAGGGGGCAGCGGAGGATCGCAAAAAACAGGAAAGCGAGAAAATACAAATAGGGACTGTGGAGAAAAGGGTGAGGATGTTTTGTAGCAGAGAGAAACCATGAGGGCAGGAATCCACCCTGGAAACACACACACACACAGATCCATTTGCACAAGAAGAAAGACAAAGGACTGACTTTCTCAGCAAAAGGGCTCTCCATTTATCAATTTCTGTACAGGCATCAGTCAAATGAAGGGCCTGAGATGCCATTGACATGTCAGTGCTGTGGAAAAGGATTCCTGGCACCTCAAAAGCAGTGGAGACACACCAACTTCGATTCTTTCCCCCCTTTATGAGCCCAATTAAGATGTTGACAAAGCAGATTCCCACACAGAAGTGTGCGCAGGCACGACTGTGAACATGCATGCGTGCATGCACACAGCGGTGGAGAGCCTCTGTCCCATGGACCACACGGGGCACAGTTTTTCTCTAGCAAAGTTTATTACTGTCAGCGGAGGGGGGTGCACATTGGAACTGATAAGGCAGGAGACAGGGAGGCCAACACTAGGGGGAGCCAGAGCCAAAGGCAGGCTGCTGTAAGTAAGAAGGAAGGGAGGTGGGGGCACACTAAGGCTGGTGGGGCAGTGCCCCCTTGTCCAAATGGGCTGCCCTCCACTAACGGGAATAAAAACAAAGAGGGGAGGGGAGAAAATTCATTCGTCGTAGAACTTGGGAATTTCGTCTCCCACGGCAACTTCCTCCTTGACGCCCTCTTTGGTGATGGTGGCGAGGTAAATGACTCCCCCGCTGGATCCGTCCCGGCACATGGCGAGGGCAATGGCTGAAAGGAGAGGGAAGAGAAAGGAAAAGGGGCGTTGAAATTCAGCTGATGCTGTAGAAAAAGCTTTGAGGACGGGGGTGATATAATGAATTTGTTGTTGTTGTTAGGGCCTATACATTTAAAATAGTATCAAAGCACTTGAAACAGTCGAGCCTTCCCCCAAAGAAGCCTGGGAACTGTAGTTTGTTAAGGGTGCTGAGTGCTGTTAGGAGACACCTAGTCCCCTTGCAGAGCTACAATTCCCAAAGTTCCCTTGGGAAGAACAGGGATTGATTGTTAAACCACTCTGGGAATTGTAGATTTGTGGAGGGAATAAGGGGTCTGGGAACTGTAGTTTGGCAAGGATGCTGAGAGTTGTTAGCTCTCAGTATCCTTACCAAACTACAGTTCCCAGAATTCTTTGGGGGAAGCCATGATATTCTAAAGTGGCATCATAGCACTTTAAATGCCCAGTGCAGACGGGGCCCTGTTGCTTTTATGGAGCCACTCGCATAGCTATAGAAACCACAACCCATTTCTAGGAAATACAGTGGTACCTCAGGTTAAGAACTTAATTCGTTCTGGAGGTCCATTCTTAACCTGAAACTGTTCTTAACCTGAGGTACGACTTTAGCTAATGGGGCCTCCCTCTGCCGCCATGCGATTTCTGTTCTCATCCTGAGGCAAAGTTCT